TTGTCATAAAAGATGATATCAAATTAAATATTACTTGATATTATACAACTCAAATGCATAATTCAATAAGTTAGCACTTAATTATTATTTTTAAATAATATATATGGGATCTTTTTTATCCCAACCAATTACCCAGAAATCCCATGAATATTAATTTAGTGGTAATTTATCATGTTATACTACTGCTATGCAAGGTATATCATTAATATTAAACAATAGGATGGCGATTGTAAATGGAAGATGATCATTTGATGAAACCAAATTTTCTAGAAAATATTTCTTTATTTGCTGTATTTGATGGACATGGTGGTTCTGGGATTTCAAAATTTCTAGCTGAAAATTTTATTAATGTGTTGATTTCATAACCTACATTTGAAAAAATGGATTTTATGCAATCACTTCATGACACATTTTTATAGCTGGACGATATGATTAAAAATAATGAAATCAAAAGTATATATTTAAAATAAAGCCAAAAGATACTTTTATAGGTTCTACTGCTGTTGTAGCTTTGATAGCAGATAAAATGCTTTATGTAGCCAATTTGGGAGACTCTAGATGTCTATTAATGAGAGATGACGAAACCATTGAACTTACTAAAGATCACCTTCCAAGCAATGAATTGGCGCGAATTAGATATGCTGGAGGCTTTGTTGATGAATAAGGTCGTCTAAATGGTACCTTATCAGTTTCCAGAGCTTTTGGTGATTTTGAATTCAAACAAGAACCTTTACCTGCTAATTAGTAAATGGTTATAGCAGAACCTGAAATCAGGAAAATTAAGTTAAATAAAGATGATCGGTAATATACAATAATCTATTTCATATAGTTTTCTCTTTTTGGGATGCGATGGTGTATTCGAAACCTAAAACAGTTTTAAAGTGATGGAGTTCATCTCCGCACGTGTGGCTGAGAAACAAGAACCTTCCATTATTTTGGAACAATTACTTGACACTTCCTTAGCTGCTGACACTTCTACTGGATATGGTTGTGACAACATGACTGCTATGCTAATATTATTAAATTAATGATATAATCATTAACTTTAATCACTTATTAATCTATCATCTATACTCTAAAAACATTACAAACCTATTCAATAGTCAATTTATTATTTCTACTAAATAATATTATTAATATATATAAGAAAATTATCAATTTCAAGTTTGACAAAATAATTCAAGACCTATTTCATTTTATAATACTTGAATCATTAAAGAATTTTATTAAAAAATATGGTAAAGTGTTTGTGGTGTCTAAAAGAGCTAGGCATTTTTGGAATGCTTTTTCATAAAGCAGTATGTCTTGAATATTTATACAGCAAATCATTAGATAAATTAAAATAAGCTAAGCAAAGTTAACTAATTACTAAAGAATAATATATAAATGAGAAGCGTCATCTTAGAGAATATTTTATGTCAAGATTCAAACCAAAAGTATACGAAGCTTTTATAAAGAGATAAAAAGAACAATAATATATTCTAATTAATCCAAATGAATTATCTGTTGGTTTAGAATCTGATATAGATGTTATTTCAAAAAAAGTATGTTTTGAAAGCCAAGAAATTTCATAGAAATCCTAATTCTTAGAATCATTTCAAAATCAAATTGAACCTGATTATAATTATGTTGTTAATAATTATTCAGGCAATTAAGAAGTTTATATAACTAATTAATTAGTCATTGATGATCCTAACAATAATAATGATAAATAAATAGATACTAATAAACATGATGAAATGAACATACATTAGTTAGAAATACAAAATCTTCGAAATATTCATAAATACAATGATTAAAATGATAAATCATAGGATTAATCTGTCTAATTCTAATAAAATATTATTTAACACTAGAATAGAGATGATATAAAAGAAAAACCATTGAATGTCGTAACTTAAAGTAATGAAGAATAAAAAGAAAATATCTTATTTAAACTACTTCAAAAAAGAGCAAAGCCAAAATTACAAAAAGAATTAAATAAAAGTATTACTTAGAACTAAAATGTAAAATAAACACATACTAGATCAAAAAGTAGAAAAATAAAAGAGGACTTAAATATTTAGGAGACTAAGGTAGAAATAAATATATCTCCAATATAGCAAGAAGAATTAGCCACAGAAATTAAATCAATTGGCATAACTGATGTTAAAACTAATAAAAAAAAGCCTCCTAAATTTTCATAAAGTTTAGATAAAATAAACTCAAAAATCAAATAAAAANTCATATAGTTTTCTCTTTTTGGGATGCGATGGTGTATTCGAAACCTAAAACAGTTTTAAAGTGATGGAGTTCATCTCCGCACGTGTGGCTGAGAAACAAGAACCTTCCATTATTTTGGAACAATTACTTGACACTTCCTTAGCTGCTGACACTTCTACTGGATATGGTTGTGACAACATGACTGCTATGCTAATATTATTAAATTAATGATATAATCATTAACTTTAATCACTTATTAATCTATCATCTATACTCTAAAAACATTACAAACCTATTCAATAGTCAATTTATTATTTCTACTAAATAATATTATTAATATATATAAGAAAATTATCAATTTCAAGTTTGACAAAATAATTCAAGACCTATTTCATTTTATAATACTTGAATCATTAAAGAATTTTATTAAAAAATATGGTAAAGTGTTTGTGGTGTCTAAAAGAGCTAGGCATTTTTGGAATGCTTTTTCATAAAGCAGTATGTCTTGAATATTTATACAGCAAATCATTAGATAAATTAAAATAAGCTAAGCAAAGTTAACTAATTACTAAAGAATAATATATAAATGAGAAGCGTCATCTTAGAGAATATTTTATGTCAAGATTCAAACCAAAAGTATACGAAGCTTTTATAAAGAGATAAAAAGAACAATAATATATTCTAATTAATCCAAATGAATTATCTGTTGGTTTAGAATCTGATATAGATGTTATTTCAAAAAAAGTATGTTTTGAAAGCCAAGAAATTTCATAGAAATCCTAATTCTTAGAATCATTTCAAAATCAAATTGAACCTGATTATAATTATGTTGTTAATAATTATTCAGGCAATTAAGAAGTTTATATAACTAATTAATTAGTCATTGATGATCCTAACAATAATAATGATAAATAAATAGATACTAATAAACATGATGAAATGAACATACATTAGTTAGAAATACAAAATCTTCGAAATATTCATAAATACAATGATTAAAATGATAAATCATAGGATTAATCTGTCTAATTCTAATAAAATATTATTTAACACTAGAATAGAGATGATATAAAAGAAAAACCATTGAATGTCGTAACTTAAAGTAATGAAGAATAAAAAGAAAATATCTTATTTAAACTACTTCAAAAAAGAGCAAAGCCAAAATTACAAAAAGAATTAAATAAAAGTATTACTTAGAACTAAAATGTAAAATAAACACATACTAGATCAAAAAGTAGAAAAATAAAAGAGGACTTAAATATTTAGGAGACTAAGGTAGAAATAAATATATCTCCAATATAGCAAGAAGAATTAGCCACAGAAATTAAATCAATTGGCATAACTGATGTTAAAACTAATAAAAAAAAGCCTCCTAAATTTTCATAAAGTTTAGATAAAATAAACTCAAAAATCAAATAAAAAGTTAATTAATAGATTGAAAATTAATCTAAAATAGAATTAAAAAAACTATTAAGAATGAACATAGATTAGATTTAAGAATCTTCTAAATTTTAAGTATCAACAAAAAATAGATTAAATAATTCATAAAATGATTGTTAAGAAAAATCTATATAAAGAGGAATAATCAAGACTAGATATTAGGCTTCTTTAGATAATTAAAAAAATTAGGTTAAAACTAAGAATCTTAAAACAAGAGATAAACAAAAAATAAAAAAGAAGTGAAACGTTATATTTATATTTCATTATTAAAATTTATCTAATCCAATAAGTTTAAATTAATGAAGATTTCTTTTTTAATTTAATTTTTATATAAATTGATTAATCATATAATAAACTTTTCATCACTCACTTAAAATAAATTATCAAATTCTGTGCTTCTTTTACTAGCTTATTATTAATCAAAAGAATAATCTATATCAATCAAATTGGCTTCACCTCTATAATAAAATTAACTGCTATGAATTGAATGATAATCAGTATGTTTTGAATTTTTACTTCTTTTTTAAGCTGCTAATTAATAATGTTACATCATATCTTCAACTTCCTAATCATAATCTAATAATCTAAGAAGTTCCAATTCTAAATATGGATGCTACAATTTTAAGGACATTAATCTTTTAAGTTAAAATTAAAATTTATGTAATGAATCTAAATCTTCTTTAATTTCATGAGTTTGAGTTTCATCATCTATTGTTTAATGAACTTATTAAACCAGAACTTCCTCACAAATTTTTTGGTTATCTTTTTCTAATACTTTAGATATAGTTTAAAATTCTTCTTAAATGAATGAATGTTTAATTGGTGTTTTATCTAGAATTGATTTGAGAAATTTTAAGAAATTTAAAATTGTAGTTGCTTCTTTATTTGCTATTTTAAGTACATCTAATTTGAATGAGGCATCCAATTTTTAACAATAAAAGGCCACAAGATTTAATGATTCCATTCTTTATAAAATTGAAGAACTTTTTTTAAATTAAGGAACTTCTATATCTGGAAAGTATTTTCTTAATAAAAATAAGAAATGTCTCCCATCTGAAAGACTTTCAATATTACTAGCTTTCATTGATGGACATTTTTCATTAACCCATCTTAATAGTTCTAATCTTAGACTCATGTACTTCAAAATTTTAAGAAAATAAATAATTACAAATGAAAACTATTTTTGAGTTCAATAGAAATATTAGTATTACAAATATAAAGCACTTTTTCAGTAATTCATCAAACATCGATAAATAGATTTAACTAAATACCTCTTATATAATAAGTAGTTATAAAATCAATAATAATAAATGTTTAAATAATTAAAAAAAAACATTAGAATTATAATACCAAAATATTCATTTACGTCTTCTTATTGGTATTTTAATTGATATATTAACTAAACAACAGACCAATTTAACAACATGATCAGAATTATTAGCAAGAATTAATTATTATTTATGGAATGTTTTTCCATCAATTTAATTTATAGGAAGAGTTTCCTATAATGTACTATCACAAAATACTTATCCTGAATATCCTTTTTTAAATCTTATATGCTAATATAAATTATATTATATTTACTAATTTAACTTAATTATTCATTTTAATTGGACCAATTAATACTAATGGATTTATCCACATTTCAAAAGATTAAAAATATTTTCCTTTAACATTTTACATAGGTCTAATTTTATCTATTCTTAAATCTCCTTCACATTTATGAATATAGCATCCTGGTAAAGAATATAATAAATCTTAAAATTCTTAAGTTTAATATTTCTCGTATTTTTTTGCTTCCTTGCGAAATTACATTCTAGCCCAACATTATTTTGTATTGAATATAGGTTGATCTAATGTTTATGATGGTCTAATATATTTAGTTTTTTCTTAATATAATTCAGTTTAACTTGATTAATATTATGGTTATATTCTTTCTTATTATTTTGTTTATCTTGATTTTCTTTTAGGTATTTTCATATATGATTTTTTTTTTCTACCAACCTTCTTTGGTTTTTTTTGTTTTAATTAAGTTTGTTTAGTAGGATTAATCTCATTAGTAGATATATTTTATTATTCTTAATTTAAAATATCATCACCATTCTAATAGATATCAGGATCATTAATTTATTCCTTTTTATTACTTTAAAATAAATATTGTTTCTCTTTTTCAAATTAATCATCTTATTCATTTCTTTATTAATATCTTGAAATTATAGCTTCCATAAAAGACTTTTAACAATTTGGTGTTTTAGGTTAATCAGATATTGATTACCTTGTAACTTTTTAAATTGGAAATTCACAAATAATAGAACTCATATTTATTTTGAGTTTACTGTTTTTAGGTTAATCTTCATGTTATTTTTCAACATACCAAGTATTTCTCTTTTATTTTCCTACTTTATTATCAATATCTTCTCTAATATCATTTGCACTAGCTCTTCTATTATTTTATAGTTTAAGTGGTTATGGAACAGCTATCTATAGAATTTTATCTATATCCTATTCTAATGAATGAGACAACCATGAAATATCATTATTTTGTAGCCATTTATTTGGATCGCTAATAATTTCAAAATATAAATTTTTTACTATGAAGAACAAGGGGATGGATACATAGAGCGATAGATTTTCTCTTTAAATTTATTATCAGAATCATCTTATTTAACTTTTTTTCCAAAAGATGGTCTCATTTATGAATTTAAATTTAATTATTTTAACTTATTTCTTATAATAACAAAAAAGTCTTAGTTAAGTGAACATATAGATGATCATTTTTGATATTTTTCAAAATCTAATACTTATCTATTATATATTATATTTTATTTGTGCAATTTATGTTCTAATTCTTTAATTATGTATTATTTTCTCATTAATAATTGATCTAATTTGTCTTATAATTTTTCAATAGGACCTATCAATTATTTGCATAAATTCTATTCTTTAATAGTATTTATTAATAATTATTTTGATTCTTATTTATCATTATTTAACTCTGATGTTAGTTTAGTTATATTTTCAAATTATAATTTAACAGATATTAATTCATTTTATTTTTCTATTAATTCTTTTTCTTTTATTCTTGTTAATAATTCTTATTCAACTTTAGTCTTATCTAATCTTTAATGAAGTGTAAAGAGCTCTTATTCTTTTTCCATCTTTTTTTCATTTAATTCTTACATTTTTCTAGAAATCATGATACGTTCTTATTCAAATTATCCCAATTTAGATAATTCTTATTTGAATTTTGGGATTATTTGAGTTTGTTAATATTTAATATTCAAATTAAAGATTTTTTAAATTTCTTAATGTTGTTTGTAGTTAATCATATTTAATCCATAACAAATTTTTTCAATTTCCTTATTTTTCATTAATAATGTCTTTAATTCTTTTAAGTCTTCAATTCTATTTTGATTGATTTCTAAATGTTTAAGATTTGAATAATGTAATCTCTTCAAGATATCATTTATATTTTATCTTAAATCACAATCATTAAGTTTTATGTGAGTCAATCTTTACATATACAACCCTAATATAACAGCATGTTCACCTACTTTATTACCACTTAGATCTATCTATNTTTAACAATTTGGTGTTTTAGGTTAATCAGATATTGATTACCTTGTAACTTTTTAAATTGGAAATTCACAAATAATAGAACTCATATTTATTTTGAGTTTACTGTTTTTAGGTTAATCTTCATGTTATTTTTCAACATACCAAGTATTTCTCTTTTATTTTCCTACTTTATTATCAATATCTTCTCTAATATCATTTGCACTAGCTCTTCTATTATTTTATAGTTTAAGTGGTTATGGAACAGCTATCTATAGAATTTTATCTATATCCTATTCTAATGAATGAGACAACCATGAAATATCATTATTTTGTAGCCATTTATTTGGATCGCTAATAATTTCAAAATATAAATTTTTTACTATGAAGAACAAGGGGATGGATACATAGAGCGATAGATTTTCTCTTTAAATTTATTATCAGAATCATCTTATTTAACTTTTTTTCCAAAAGATGGTCTCATTTATGAATTTAAATTTAATTATTTTAACTTATTTCTTATAATAACAAAAAAGTCTTAGTTAAGTGAACATATAGATGATCATTTTTGATATTTTTCAAAATCTAATACTTATCTATTATATATTATATTTTATTTGTGCAATTTATGTTCTAATTCTTTAATTATGTATTATTTTCTCATTAATAATTGATCTAATTTGTCTTATAATTTTTCAATAGGACCTATCAATTATTTGCATAAATTCTATTCTTTAATAGTATTTATTAATAATTATTTTGATTCTTATTTATCATTATTTAACTCTGATGTTAGTTTAGTTATATTTTCAAATTATAATTTAACAGATATTAATTCATTTTATTTTTCTATTAATTCTTTTTCTTTTATTCTTGTTAATAATTCTTATTCAACTTTAGTCTTATCTAATCTTTAATGAAGTGTAAAGAGCTCTTATTCTTTTTCCATCTTTTTTTCATTTAATTCTTACATTTTTCTAGAAATCATGATACGTTCTTATTCAAATTATCCCAATTTAGATAATTCTTATTTGAATTTTGGGATTATTTGAGTTTGTTAATATTTAATATTCAAATTAAAGATTTTTTAAATTTCTTAATGTTGTTTGTAGTTAATCATATTTAATCCATAACAAATTTTTTCAATTTCCTTATTTTTCATTAATAATGTCTTTAATTCTTTTAAGTCTTCAATTCTATTTTGATTGATTTCTAAATGTTTAAGATTTGAATAATGTAATCTCTTCAAGATATCATTTATATTTTATCTTAAATCACAATCATTAAGTTTTATGTGAGTCAATCTTTACATATACAACCCTAATATAACAGCATGTTCACCTACTTTATTACCACTTAGATCTATCTATCTCAAACCTTTATTTTCTTTTAAACCTTCACTTATTTATGAGAATTCAGCAATTTAACAATAACTTAGATTCAACTTTTATAACCAATTATTTTATGATAATAATTTAAATAAACAACTAACTGATCCTCCAAAATTATTCTTTGATAAAATTAAAGATTCTAAATATTTATGATTCACTATTCTATCCACTAATCTACTCAAACCATGTGATGTAATTTGACAATCACTTAAATTAAGTATTTATATATTCCAATGACTTATTTTATCATTTATTCCTTCAATACCAGAATCTCTAAGTTCATTTTCTTATAAATTTAGACATAATGATGAACATATAGTATTAGTATTTTTTAATGAATTAAATCCTTAATTGTAACTTACAAAATCTCCTGATATTATATCTGAAAATGTAGAATAGAGATTTAGAAATTAAATATTGCCATGCTAATCAACTAATTATTACAGAGCTTTGCTTCCAACACTGCTTAATCGATTTCCAGACAAATTCAAGGAGACAAGAGTATAGATCGGTTTCAAGTAGGGTAGGGCATCACGAAATCCTTTGGGAGTTATACACTATATGGTTTGTGAGTTTTAGTTACTGATTTGCTAATATCCAAATGGATGATGCATCTATTGTAGAAAAGATTAGTAGTGAGAATCTTGAAACCCTCATCTCCAAATTAATTGTTCCCTAAAATAACATTTAAGTATTTCTCATCATTTTTTAATTATGATCCTATTACCTTAGCTGCATTCAGTTTTAAATGCATGGATTCTAATTTCAAGAAATCAACTCCAAAGTGACGTTCTATATTTTCAATAGTGATTTTGTCAAGTTCATTATCTTAACCTCTAGCCTCTAAAAGTAGATCAACAAATCTATCTCTTTTATTCATGGGACAGACAAATCTGATTCTTGTGGCAGTTAATGACAACAATTCACTTTTTGAAGATTTGTATTTATTTGGAGTATTTCTTCTTTGATAAGAAGCATAATAAGAAGAGAAAGAGGAATCACCTAAAGCCTAATCTAAATTAGACCAGATTGATTTAAAAGTATCTCTATGCATAATTAAATTATTTTAATGGATCAAAATTCTAATTACCTAAAAATTTGGGGATTACCAGAAGGAATTACTGAGCATGATGTTCTATAGAAGATTAAAGTGATTGGAAAAGTCATCAAAAATAAGTAATTAAATAATGTATGGTATATTGTGTTTGAGGATGAGGTGGATAATGATAGTGTATAATAATATATTTATTTTATAGGTTGAGTTTTTATAAAGCAGTTATCCATAATTGTAATATATAATTGGTACAGAAATGACACCTTAAGACATTTAGAAATTTGCATCTATATTTCCTAAAATGGATGATGAAGAAGTATAAAGAAAGAAACTTGAATAAGAAAAGCTTTAAGAAATAGCTAAAAAGTAGTAAGAAGATTAAAGATAGAAAATGCTACAATAACAATAAGAATTTTTAAAATAATAATAAGAGGAATAAAGAAAAAAATAAATAAAGGAAAGAGAGGAAGCTTTAAAAAGAGAGGAGGAATTGAAGTAGAAATTATTATCTGAAGCTAAATAATAAATGGATTATTAATAAAGATTTGTAAATATTATATATATATATTTCTTAGTAATAGTAAAAAGAATAAGAAGATAAACAATAAAAATAATAATAATATGAATAAATCTAATATTAATTGGAAGAATAAAAAAGATTAGAACTATTAAGAGTTTAATAATCTTAATCAAATTCATAATTGTACAATTAATAAACTTTAGATTTATAAAAAGAAAAACTTAAAGAAGAATTAGCTTTAGATTTCGCTAAATCTTAATTTTAATAAAAATAATTATCTGAATAAAAAGATTAGGAATTTAATTAGAAAATCTAAAATTTGAAGAATAAACTTACAGAAACTGAATATCAATTATAATAATTAAAAGATAAGTATAATAATTAATAAGAGAATTTATAAAAGCAATAAAAAGAAATTTAAGATTTATAAACATCATTAAACTATGTAACATAATAAAGAGACAATGTAATTGCAAAATTCAAAGAATAACAATCAAATTAAGGTAGCAGCAATATTACTTAAGAAGATGTGGTTTTCTTAGAATAATAACAATAATAATAGGAACCATCATCAATCTAGAATATGTTGTTTAAATTTGAATTTTGGGTCTTTTTAATAGGGGTTTGGATCTTAAGTTAAGTAATTAATTTCTTCACCTGATCCTAAAATGATATATGATTTATCAAATATTAAGTATTTATTAATTATGAAACAGTAAGGAGATAGTCTGTTTTTCCAATCCTAATTATATGTTGCAGAATTAAGTGATCCTTTGACAATCTTATAGTTTTTAGGAAATGATGAATTTGAAAGTTAGAAGCAATCAAGTCATGAGGATAAATTAGAAATCTCAAATAAAAGTGAAAAGAAAGTGAATTCAAACAAAAGTAGGCTTTAGCTGTAATAATCTAGTTTATAGTACTCAGAGAAACAAAGAAAAATCCTTATGGATCCAGTTGGGCAAATAAGGTATTGGAAAAACAATTCGGTGTTCATTTATAGTAAATTGCATAAAGAACAGGCCCAAAATGGATTATAAAAAAATTAAAACCTGTAGAAACAAATGATTAAAAAGAATTTGAGCATCTACGTTTAGTGAAAGTACATCAGGCATTAACATGACTTTAGGATTTCAGATCCCAAGAGAAGAAAATTCGATAAACAGCCTCAAAATCTTATAGAAAGAGAATAGATAAAAATTTTTAAGATTAGAAGTAATCATTTAATGGGATACCTATATATGATCCAAATTTCTAAATCAAATTGCAATAGTACAATTTATGATTATATTTAATAATTAATAGAGATCAAAGCAAAAATATCTAAAGTTTTCTGTCTAAATTTATTATAAATATATATATATATATTAGTTTTCAGTATGGAATTTAACTTAAAAGTTGTTTTGGAGAATGAATATCTTCCTCCTAATTTTGCATTGTATTTTCATCCTATAAGAATTATTCTTACCGTGATGCTAATATTTACATTTTCTAAATTGCTTTTAGATGATTTTTTGGCATTCTCAATTATTCTATCATATGAGTTAAATCTTGTAGATTGAGATTTGGATTTTGTACAAATTCTATGACTTACTTTGGACAATAAGCAAGATTATGAAATGGCAGATAAATAAAAGACATGTATTCGTTAAATATATATTTATAATATTATAAAAAATTGATCAAGGGTCAAATGAGCTATTGGGTATGTTTATTTTCAATTATTTTTTAACCATTCTCTAATAACTTTTTTAAGGTTTTTATTCCATTTAAGTAATTTCTATATTAGTTGAATTATCAAGTTGTGTCTTAAGTACTTATTATTGATTTTTTCTTACTATAAAGTATAATATCGTAAGTAGAATTATGGTAACTAAAACAATTAATATGAGTATTATATAATCTTAGTCCATAAACAAATTTAATAAATAAAAAAAATGAAACTACATTAATGTTAAACCAACCAACCCAATAATGATATGATTTTTGGTCATAGAATTGGTACTAAGAAGATAATAGCAGAGAAACAATAGAAAGTACAATTTTTATATATATAATCTAGGTCATCAAACATATTAGATAATTACCTAGAAGCAAAGAAGATAATTACTTTCATGAAGCAATTAAAGCTAATGAATAATATGATCTATTTCTTGAAAAGTATATCTTTAACTTAATTATATTTTTAGAATGAATACTTTTAAGATTCAATAAGCATTAATATTAACTAAATAACGATTTTAAGATGATAATAAATTTGCTAATCTTTTAGAATATGTTCCAGAAGAAAAAGACAATGATAAAAAAATCAAAAAAGAACTAGAATCCTATATAGATAGATATGCTACTATGAAAAAAGGACCTGCTCCAAGACATCCATAATTTTATTATTTTATTTGATTTATTAACATTACTTTTAAAATATGTTTAATCCAAATTGTATCAAGACATTAAGGACTATGAGTGCATCCTCATAACGATCAACTTAAAATAAACTTTTGATGGAAGAAATTGATTCTGCAATTTAGGATTTAAGAGAATGGAAAAAAAATGAAAATCTTGAATTGAAAAAATAACTTATGGAAAATCAATAGACTTAAAAAATCATCTATAAAAGTGGATATGAAATTGATGAAGAAGAAGAAGACACTAGATAAGAAGAATTATTATAATAATAAACAGATCTAAATAATAAATTATAAAAGATTAGACAAGAATATATGAAAGAATATCTAAAAATTCCTAAATATATGGCTAGTGAATAAAAAACATTAGAAATAACACAAAAATTATAAGAAAGTTCTCAAAGATTAGAAAATTTAGAAAATTATCCAATTAATTAACTTAATCTTAATAAAATGGATGATGATATATTATTAAAGCTAACTTAATGGAAAGCTTAACTTGCAGAACTTGATTAAGTTTCTGAAGAAAAAGAATCAATATAATAAGATTAATAAAATGATTAGAATGGATAAGTAACAGCTAATATGAAATAAAAAATATAATAAGAATTAGATTAATTTTAAAAATTTGAATAGACAATTTCCAAAGAATAATAAGAAAAATAAGAATTTAATTAACATATTCAATAAGAATTGAATGATCTTGACAAAGATTTTGATGAAATAGATTCATTATTAAATTAATGTGGAATCAAATGAATCATTTTTTTAAATCAATTGAATATTTTAAATTCATCAATCTCAAAAGGAACAACATAATATATTAGTTATTATTCTTTATTATAATCTATGTTGATTTCTATTATATTTGTACATTAATGAGAATTTTTGATTTATTAAAAATATTCTTATATGTTGAATAGATCTAGACATTATAAAATTGATTGATATTTACAAAAACATAGGTTAACCAAAAAATATAGTTGATTAATTAAATGTTAATTTATAATTAATATTTAAATGGATAATAAAAAATATGTGACAAAATAATATGGTAGAGAAATCAAAGCATAAAAAAAAGAGGAAATAAAAACAATTATTGAATAATTACATAAAAAGTTTGAATCATAAGTAGATCTTATTTCTATATGACGAAGGATAATGTTTTATTAGAATCAAAAGAAATTTTAAAGATTTGTGAAGAATTCAATGATATATTTCTTGTGAAAAGAGAAATGCATAATATCTAAAATTAAATGATTGAGATTATTGATATAAAATTAAATGTTGATCCTGAAATTGAAGATAAAATATTAACATCAAGTTTTATCATACATCAAACATTTAGAAGAGGATTAAGTATAATTGGATTTTAAAATTAATATGTATTACTTCGTAAAGGAATGATGAAATTTTTTGATATGTAAATGGTTTATAGAAATTAGAAAAATAATTGATCAAGAAAAAGCAAAGTCATAAGAAAAAAATGATTTAAATAATCTAATATCATTTTACACTTTTGAGAGAATATACAAAGAATTAGAAAATGGAAAGTCTGTTAAAGTAAGGAATTATTTAATATTGTTTAGATATAAGTCTAAGAAAAAGCTAATGGAGAAAATGCATAAATAAGTTATTATCAACCTTTGAATATGTGGGTTATTTGTTCCAAAAATACTGCTATTTTATGTAATGGAATAGATGATTTGAAAATTTATTCAGAATAAAAATATCATCTTGCTATATAAATTGCAAAATAGTGGTTTAAAATGATTGAACAAAATCCTAAATTAATAGAGATTAAATAAGAATTAGCAAATTCTACTCTTATTGGTGAATATTGTGGACATCCAAAATTTTAACACTTAGTAAAATATGATAATATTTATTTAAAATTTTTCTCAAGAGTCAAACATAATAGTTTATATACTTGTGAATTTTAAAATGAATCTAGATAGTTATTTTAAAAATATTAACTTCCAACTGTTGCTTGTAGATTGGAAGTTCAAGTTGATTCAAAAGAGAATTTGTTTAATGAATTAAAAAAATTAAAAGAAATAATTAAAATGAAGAGTATAGAGGAAGAGGGAGAAGGAGCAGTTTTATATTTTTTAAATGATTAAGATTAATGTCTTTCACTTGGTAAATTAAAGACTATTGAATGTAATTTACATTTAAATTCTAAATAGACAAAATTCATAGGTAAATTAGGGAGTCATTAAAAGATTGTATACACTAAAAGGGAAATCCAGTAAAAACATATTAAGCATTATAATAAAGTGTATAAAAGTTTACATCAATTGAATAAGGCAAGCGAAAACAATACTTACAATTTGCTGCTAATTTATTATAAGAAGCTTCAAAGTAAATATTTTAAATAATTTGAAAAGTTTTCTTAAAGGTCAGTAAGATATAAATATAAAATAAATTTAATAAAGACTATTCAATTTAATTGATAAAAGTTATTTAGATATAAAAGAAAGAATGTAAAATAAAGGAAAATAAGAAATTAATGTGTTTAAATAAATGTTAGAATAAGATGAAAATATATAATGAAAGAATTATTTTATTTTAAAAGAAATTAAAATTATGATTTAGATATAATTAATATTATTTATTTGATGTAAAAGGTATAACAATAGAAAAAAAAGAAATTAAGAGTAACCAAAAATTTAGAGCCTATCATGAAAGAATTACAATAATTTAGAGCAGAAGTATAATTTAATTTTTTAATTAGTAACCAGAAACATAATTAACATATGAAGAATTAGACAATTTTTTATAACTATATAATAAAGTGACAAGTTCATAAATTATTGAATGCAAACTCTAAAATTTAGATCTTTAAATTAGAGATGTTAAATTTAAGATTCATTATGAGGAAGATACTTTATTTGCATTAAATAAATAAATACATTAAAATTTTAGAAGAGGATTGGCATTTGTAAATTATGGATAAGGTTGGAAAATATTAAGAAAAGGATAAAAAAAGTTCTTTGATTTATATTTTGATGATATATAAGGAAAAGGTGATTAATTTTGTCAAAGAATTAATTATTATAATATTGGAAGAGCTGAAGAATTAGCTTCTTAAAATAAATAAATAAAAATCTATATATCAGAAAAAGCAAATGGTGAAAATTGTTAGATTTCATATTGCAAAGATATTGATAGTTGGAGTATTTCATCTAAAAACAAAACTCTTGTACTAAGAGATGAAAATGATATGTAAGCATAATATTATTAAAATGATTCATATAAAGTTGCATTAATGATTGCAAAATAATGGTTTAGAGAATTATAATAAATAAATTAACCATTAGATGGTTTAAAAAATATATTATAAGATCATACATTTGTTGGTGAATTTTGTGGTCATGTTTAACTTTAACATTTAATTAGATATGATGATGTATAAATAAGATTTTTCTCAATTGTGAAAAAAAATGGAATTGAAACATGTTTATCACCTAAGTTTTCTCAATAAATCTTTGAAAATTTATAATTGAAAACAGTTAAATTTAGAGAAATTATAACAAATAGTATTTAGGATTTAAAAATGAAATTGTTAGAATTAGAAAAAGAAATATCAAGAATGACTTTAAAAGAGATGGGAGAAGGATCAGTATTATATTTTTGTAATTCAGAGAATGATGAATGTTTATCATTAGCAAAATTAAAAACAATTGAATGTATTTATAATATTAATATATAGATCGAATTATTAGAAAAATAAGAGAAAAAATGAAATCATTAGTTTTTAAAAAAATAGATAATAAAATATGTTTGAATAAATTTATCAATGAATGTTAGCAGTTTCCTTACTTTAATGATCCAGAATTTTAAAAAGCTTATTACATTGAATTATGCACTAAATTATTGAGTTTTGGTTAATAGTAATTAATAAATTATATTTTAGTCTAATAAAAGAATTGAAGGAAGAAAAACTTTATAAGAGTGTTTTCAATGTAATAAAATAAAGTTTTTTGGATTTTCTTGATTTAATTAAATAAAATGCTCCATTTGATTTTATTGTCAATCATTTTGTCAAGATGAAATAATAAAATGTAGAATAAATTTAAGATATTGATGATAATGAGGATGAATTAGAATGATATTTATAGATTTGTACAATATATAATTTAAATCTATCTCAAAAATAGAATTTAAATTTCATTTATGAAAGTTCCTTTAAAATAAATAAAATAGTAATTCAATAATTCAAAGTTATTTCACAATTTTCATCCTAAAATTTGAATAAAAAGAATTTATATAAAAAATAATTGATTTAATTATTGTTAAATGCATTAGACTACAGATTTAGACTATTAGAAGTTGAAAGCAAAATAGGATTTATAATCTGTAAAATATTTGGCTTGAATAAGATATTTTTATTAGTTTCTTTATTTAATGGATTTTGCTTTTTATTTAATACCAATATTTGTTTTGGATGGGATTACAAAATTATTATAATATATGCTTGTACAGCACAATTTGCCTTTTTGATTTCAAGACTTCTCTCTAGTTAAGGGTATGTATCAAAAATTATATTAAATTAGGATTAATTCTTATTGTTGTTTTGCCATAATGGAAAGTACATTATTAATTACTTATCTTTTGGGATTTATATACAATAAAGAAGTTTCACCAATTAATATTAATTTAATTAGCTACACTCTTCTAATAATATAATTTGTTATATTAGCAATTACTATTCTAATGGGTAGATAAAACTTAGAAGGTTAAGGACATGATTAATCTAAATAAATACAAGAAATAGTATTTATAATATGAGTTTAGTTAGTATCAGCTTTAAAGTGTATAGGATCCTTATAAATTGTATTTTTAAGTTTGAAGTTGAGTAATCAAATAAATTGGTGTTGGATGCAAACATTTATTATAATCTGGTTCATTATTGGTACAATGATATTGATTGAAATATGTTTATTTATTGATTTGTTGATGAAATGTTATAATAACAAATAAGAAAATAAAAAACAAATAAGTAAGAGTATAAGTATATAAGTTTATGGCAGTATATGGTTTAACATAGTATTAATTGGTTTTATTTCGATATCTTTATTAACATTTTTGGGTTTGGGATTATTATTAGATTATCAGATATCTTCAATGAATTTAGGTGGTTTTATATTAACAATTATATATTATATTTTAGAAATTGGGTATTATATAAAAAATAAGAAAGATTTAATGTAAAATTATTAATTAAAATTAGTTCATTTTTAAATATTTAAGAAAATTTAACATAAATATAGAATTAAGAATAGAATAATGAATAAACAAGTTTAAAGGAAAGGATAAAATAAATTCATAGATTAAGTGTAAGTAGAATGCCTTAATTTATGATAAAATTATCTGCTACTTATTTTAAGAAGAAAGAATAAATAAGTATAAAAAATTCACCAATTGGTTCAATATCTAATTAAGATAAGAAATTTAGATCAATAAGTTTCTCAGATATCAAATAGAATAAAGATAATAAAAAGTAATCTTCATAGATATATGATGAGGAACTTACAAAGAGGTTTGATAATTTATTATCATCTCCTCGATTAAAATTAGAAGTTAGTGAAAGTATAGGTGCAGAATTATCTAGTAGAGTATAACCAAAATAGATATAATTATGTTTAATTTGTTATGAGAAGGAAAGCAATATGATTAATTAACCATGTGGTCATGGAGGATTTTGTTAGGAATGTTCATAATAATTATTGGCCAAGAGTGATTTATGTTTATTGTGTAGGAAACCTGTGACTCATGCATTAATAATTTAAGGAGTTGAAAATCGGGAAAGCTTAGTTGAAGTTGTAGGTATCTATTAAGATGCAAAGAAGTAATGACAATTAAATTGGTTTTAAAATATTTTTTATAATATATGAACAATAATAGTAATATTTTTAGACCACCTTCTTCTCATAAAGTGTAAACTCCTTAATTTGCTAAAGAATAATAACAACCTAAAAATGCGAAAGGAAATAATAGATAAGTTTTTAGAAGTATTCAATTTATATTAATAATAATAGTCTAGACATTTAAATTAAGTCCTAATTTCAAGAATAATCTAAGTTAAATGCCTTCAACTTAAGATAGTAAATGATAAGTTTATTTTAGCATTGGAATAGAAACTAGCAGATCAAACTTCAGAAATAAAATTACTTTAAAATCAAATAGCAGAGTTAAAGAAGTAAAATGAGTTATTAGAATAAAGATTGAGAAAGGCGAATTCGGTAATTCTTAAAATAATTTTAGACTGTTTCTGATTATTGGATTAAAGTTAAAGATACATAAACTAAACTCCAACAGGTTTCAAACAAATTTAAAAGTAGTAGGGATAAGAAAAAAATGTATAAAAGAAGAATAATAGATGCTTTAAATTATTTTTATGGTCGATACACAGATGCTTAATGTATATGAAATTATGAAAATAGAATAGAATACTCCATTTTTATAATTAGAAGAACTAAGATAAATATTATTACAATTAGGAATGCATGAATCAATTGTTTAAGAAATGCAATATTTAAATTAATAAGCTCAAAATTAATTGAATGTTAATATTGACAATATGACATATGAATAAATCTTAAATCTATAAGAAAGAATTGGGTAATCATATAATGACTATTATAAGTAATCAAAATGTAGGATTAACAAAATTATAAATAAAAGAAATTCCAAAAAAAACTAAAGAAGCTAATGATAATGTTGAAGAAATGTAAATTATTAATTAATATATATATGAATAGTTGCACTATTTGTTATGATCAAATATTAACTGGAAATGTATATAGATAACTTTCATGCAATCATATATATCATTCAAAGTGTATAAAAGCATGGCTCTTAAATCACAAAAAATGTCCAGTCTGTAATATAGAAGTGATTCTTGGTTCAGATTAGCATAATGACCATAATCACTAACAAACATAATGAATTAATTATATAAATTATATTATTAAGACTTTTCAATAATCTTTATATTCAATAGTTTTCATCTTCTTCTTCTACTTTTTTTGCAAATTCTAATTTAAGATCTTTATAAAATTGAGTTAAATGAACATTAGTTATAGCAACACTATTTGCAATTGATTTAGGTTGATTATTTTAGATTGGCATCACTTAAAGTATTTTGTTTTTCAATGCATTTATATACTGTATTATAGGAGTTGTAATTATGTCTGTGTCATCAGAACAATCAGTAGCAGTAAGAGCTAATTGTTAAATTCGATCACTAAAGTAATTGTTTCCCCACCATAATTCAATTTCATCATCAAAGTTCTTATCCATTAAACAATTCAATATGATTGTTGTTTCTACTAGTAACTATTAGATAAAATCACAATAAATTTACCTAAATTGTTTCTTTTTATATAAATTCTATATTTGTAATTGTATCAAGATTGGAATTTATATAATTCAAGTATTCATTTCGATAATAATCTAGTACTTTCGACTTTATTTTCAAAGCTTTCTCTGTAAAATGATTATAGCTTCGAATTATTAATTAAGATTTAGCTTCTATCCTATCTGCCAAGATTTCACATGAATCCATCTGAATTTATTATTTCTCAATCTATTCAGCTAAATAAGATTTTATAGGTTTAGTTCTCATCACATTAGCTAAACAGTTGCTTTCTATAAAGTTAATTGCCTCTTTAGTAGTGCTTAAACTTTGTCTAATGTCCTCATTCTTTTTTATTTCAACTCTCTTATCTGTATGATTTTACTTTTGTTTAGAGCATGAAAATCCCATTTTATATAGTATTGATATTATTTAATGACTTATAAATCAAATTTATCCCATGTAATCCCATAAGATATCTTTATCACTATATCCAGGAATAGCATATTCATGTAAATTTGAAAGAAAGTTCTCTTGTGTAGATTTGAAAGGAGGAAATATTTTATCTATTGTTAATCTAAATGCGTCATCTACTACTCATTCAATTAGTTACTTAACATTCTCGGTATTAACTTTTATAAAAGTGGACTGCTTTCTTCAATGCAAGGATTAGTATTAATCTCGATCAACCAAATATGCCCATTTTTATCCACCATAAAATCGTAACCAAATATTTCAAACTAGAAATCCTTGCGATCTAAAAATTAAGATACATATATCAACTGTCACGCAATTTAGATCCAGCACAATATATCGTTTAATGAATTAATTCTTTCATTTTTAGAATAATCCCTGCTGAAGATACTTTAGTATTTCTCTGTTAATTTAAATAATGTTGTAAATCTTAAAGACTCAATTGATTCCCTAATTCATACTTTCCGTAACTTGGATGATTCTTTTATACTGCATTATTTGTTAAATGTATGTATAGAGATTTCAGATTATTTACATCAAATTACTCACTAGCTAAACGTAGATATCTATAATAATAAATATATTATACCCTTCCTTAAAGAAATAGTATTTTGATGTATGATCAATAAGTACCCAAACTCTAAAATCAAATTTCCTACCATTATACAAAAGAGGCGTTTCTAAGTACTTTTATAAAACTATAATACGATCATTACTAGTAGATTGATCTATTGTAAAACTAATTTGAGCTTAACCGGATTCTTTTTAATGAATTAAATAATTTACTTTCATTAGAGTCTGGATATGTAATTGTAACTCCTCTAGCTCCTTTTGATGAACTTTTAGTTTTTGAATTCAAACTTCTAATTTTACAGAATTCCTCTACTTAATTTATAAACACTCTAAGATCAGAAAATAATTAAATTCCTCTTCCTCTATTAAGATCTGGTGGTTTCAATAACCAAAGATTCTTCTAATTGCCTTCTTTCTTTATTGAAATGAAAAAATCTACAAATTTCTTTAGATCCCATTAAAGTGTCATTGAATCCAAATTAATTGAGAAAGTAATAGGTACAAAATCATCCATATTCTTATTAATTCTTTAACAATGCATTTTGAGATTATCATGTAATTTATTTTTATTTGAAATTTCATGATGATGTTCAAGATGATTAATGCAAACTTTCTTCTAAGTAAGAGTAGAATAATTAAATCCCTTATTTGATTGTTTCCATATAAAGTTTACACTAAAATTATTAATCTATAACTTACTTAAAACTTGTTTATTATTCAGCAAACCAACCTCTTCCTTATAAAATTCTCCTAACCAAAGCACCATTATTTCCATTTTCACAAAAGAACTACCTGTTTTTATAATCATCATTACAACATATTATGCTGTAAATGTATTTTTCAAAAACGCAGTTCTAGGTATTCTTTACACAGATGATTAAGGTCTTTTTCCTTCTGCTTAACTGCTAAGTTTACGTTTTTCAACCGATTGTTTCCTTTGAAATTGAGTACTGTTGAACATACCAATCTTAGTCAAACCTTCTGGAGTATGTTATCTAGGTTCTTTTGGACTATATTTTAATTGAATAGGCTCCAATCTTTATTATAGTAAACCATACCTATTGTCTTTCAATTTCATTGCTTGTAAGAACATATGATTATTATTTATATAAAATTATCACAAAAATATTTTCACTAAACTACTTGTCTAGATTACAAATATTCCTGTAAGTATTTCTACTCATACATAGGATCCAAAACTATATTTGGAATTTCAACATTTTATCCAGGTGCTACAGTTTATGGATTGTAATTCCCATTAAAATATTCTAATTATCTGAACATCTTTTCATGCTAAATATATGTTCTCAATCTTATATTTTCTGAATGTAAAAATGCATTTTCTTATTCCAATTAATCTTATCTATTTCTCAACAATTGATTCTCGGCAGTTTTCTATTAGCATAATTGATATAATGCTTGATTTTATGTTTCAGGTATATCATTTCTTTATTAAACCAATAAAGAAGTTATGTGTTATCTCTCTTCATTAATTTACTATAAATGATCCTTAACATTTAATCCTATATTAATCTAATTATATTACTAAATTGTTAATTCAGCTTATTCTATAATTCAGAACATTCGAGTTCCTTTTATCGATAAAGCTCCATTAAATTTTAATATTTTTAATTCATCTCTTATTATTCTAAAGCATTGCTATCGACTAAAGCAGTCAAAGTTTCCACTTCATCAACAAGAATTTATATTCTTTGTAACAATTTCTATACTATGTCTTCTTATGGCATGAATCTGTTAATTTATTTATTAAATAAATATAAATAAACATTATTGTATAATCTTATATTGTATTTTCATTAGTTGGAATTCCTATATTTTTATTTAAATGTTTTTAAAATTTACAAAAATAAATTAGCTACTATAATTCAATGGTCTTTTTTATTAATAAATTTTATTTAATTTTATATGTTAATTAAATATATTATTATTAATATCTAAGTTAGTTTTATATTATTTCAAACATTTATTTTATATAACATTTAATTAATATTTATGCCATTTGCATTAATGCTGATAAATATAATAATATAAGAATAAATAATATTATTATTTTTTATAATAGATTTAAATACATTTATTAAATGATTAATCTTATTTTTAAATAACCTATTATCAAAATACTAAAATATAATATTCACAAATCATTTTAAGTTTCATGGTTATCCAAATTTTCATTATTAATTACATTTTGAGAATCCTCTTCTGCTTATTTTATCAATTCACTTAAATCTGGTATTGCTCTTCTATGCAAAGGTTCCTAATTTCAATATTATAATTTTACTTATTTTCCTTCCATTTTTTCTTTTCCCCATAAAAATACATCATCTAATGTTTATCCAGTTGCATCTGTAATATTAGTTAGATGATGAGGTTCTTAAATTATGAAATAAATCAACAAAAAAAATGCAACCAATCCTATAAATCTAAGTACTATTTCCAATTTTCCATCTGTATATTTTGTTAATAAATAAATAGGTAAAAATGATCCAAATATACCATATGACTAAATAATATAAATTTCATTTACATCATCATTCATATTTGGGAAAATCCAGAATTCATATCCAAATAATCTAATTATTGAATATAACAATAATCTAATGACTTAAAGTCCAATTAAAAATATTAGCAAATATATTGTAAATTTAAATATACCATATTTAAAAGAAAAAGGCCATATTGGAAAAAGACAGATTAAAAATACACCAATCAAAATGGCTGCCAACTTTATTGAGTTCATTTTGTTTTTAACATCTATACTCCATGTGTAGAAGCCATCTTCTATAAAACTTTAATCCTATCGCATATTGAAATATTAAAACTCTAACTAAAGTCAACAATTTTGGCCATTTTTTCTTTGGGTCATCTCTATGCCTATCGACTCTCCATATAATTTTGCATTCTATCAAATATTTAGCAATTTATGCGGCATCCTTCTTTTTATCAGTTAATGGAACTAAACCCTTAATTTCTTCAAAATTTGTTGTTGTGAATTTAATGAAATCTTCTCCTTTAAAGTATTATATCTTTTTTTGATAATTGAAATTTGCTTCTCTTAGTTTAAAGCCACTATTTTATTAATGATAATGTTAGTAAAGTGGATAAAACTATTTTTCGAACTCTTTTCTTTCTTAACTCATTTACGCGTGTAATTATAATTTTATATAAATAATAATAATATTTAAATATATAAAATATATTATTTCACCATAATATTTATTTAATAGGTAGATATTTATGATTTAATAAAAGAAGTATATTAAATCATATCTAAAATTATTAGCTTTTAATTTGATTGATTAATTAAAGCACTAATAATAAGAATAAATGAATAACACTCAAAAAAAGAATGGAATACAAATGCTATATCATTTATATTCATAAAATTATAATCTTTTAAAATTTAAAGTCCAATTTGTTTATAAATAATTAAACTAATATGTTTTAATATAATAATAATATTAATTAATAGCCATGATGTGTTTTCAAGATGGGATTTATAAATATTCAAGAATAATTCAGTTTATAAATAATTTATTAAATAATAATAATAATACATTGTATATTGTATGATTTTAGGTTCTCAAGAATATTCAGTAGAAAATTATTGGAAATATATTTATGTATCGTTACTCTTTTTTTCGTTATGCTCAGCTTCAGTGATACCAATAATTTATACATACTCACCTAAATGTAGACATCATCCAGCATAGATTGTTCTAATATTATGTAAGATAATATATATTTTAGGTATATTGGAAATGATAACTTGCTATTAATTATTTCTAGATAGTGTTAATTTTTAAGAATTGATTTATTTTTTAGACAGGGTTATTGGTTATAATAAAATTAGAGAATATTATTTATTTGGCTATGGTTAGATATCAGATGATACATTATGTTAAATAAATCAAACTCTTGTTTTTTTCGGATTCTTAGCACAATTAAATTATTATGCAATTCTGACATTAGATTTTATACTAACATTAACTAAACCATTCTTGAATACAAAAATGAAGTAACTATCATATAATTTGGGGGCATGTTTTGTGACAATGTTGATGTTTTATATAGAGAGACATTCACTTGATGGAAGTTGTTAAGGAATAGGTGCAAGACAAGTTTCTTAGGTTTTTACATTTTAAATGCTTGCAATAACCGTATTATTAGTAATTTCAATATATGTGGGACTTAAGGACTTAAAAAAGATGAAGAAAATCAATATTGTGGTGAGAGAAAATAGGAAAAAATTGTTTTACAATCATTTAGTATACTATTATTAAAGCTAAATTAGTATTTATTTTTAACTTTGGCTTTAATGTGGAGTCTACCTTTCATTATGAAAACTTTAAGTGATTCAAGTAAAGCCCACAAATTAATAAATAAAATTTATTTTGCTATTATGCTTTTACATCGTAAAATTGTATTATTTATTATTAGCATCTATTTTGTTATGGATTCGACTTCGTGAACCTTATTTTAAGAGTAGAACATTTCTATTAATGGCCACTATTTTTTGTAAAAGAAGATGGAAAGAAAATAAAGAGTAAAAAATATTCATTTATGTTATTTAGTAAAAATGTTGATGATAGTATTATGGAACAATGTTAATTGCCTCTAAGTAAATTAGTCTAAGATTAAACTAATTAAGAGACAGTGTCAAATATTCTTAGTTCAATACTTAAAATTGTTAGTTATGATGAAAGAATTACTGATTTACATAAATAATGTAAATACAAGAAGTAATTCAGATTTTCATCCAATAAAAGTGATTAATCTGAAATTGATTAATAATCACCTTTATTGCATTCAATTAATTATTCATTAGAATTAACATTACCATTCTAAATTTAAGAATATGCTCCAGCAGTATTTTAAGATATCAGAGAAAAAAATGGGATTTGTCATAAATAATTTTAAAATTCCTTAAGATTAGATCATAATTAGAATTAAATTAAAAAGACTCAAGAATCATTAGGAAAAAGTGGATCATTCTTTTTTTATACTTATGATAATGTTTTTGTTTTGAAGACCATTACATAGTCAGAAATTAAACTAATTTATGATTGTATTTTATTTATTTAATTTTATAGTTTTGGAAGACTATTATAAATATATAAATAGAGATTAAACATTTTTAGCTAAATTTTATGGATTGTATTCAATAAGTATAGAAGGATTCTCTTAAATTCATTTATTACTTATGGAGAACATTTTTGAAAAAATACCTAAAGAAAGAGTAGTTTATGATTTAAAAGGAAGTCTTGTAAACAGAAAATAACATGTTAAACAAAGTTAAGTTGTTGATCTCAATAGTTCTTTTGCTTAATATTTACCTTAAGAAGGTGTTTTAAAAGATCTAAATTTCATCAAATCTACAGATATATTTATTCAATTAAAATAATAACATAGAGATCATTTATTTAATATTCTTAAAGATGATATTGATTTTCTTCTTAGAAATAATATTATGGATTATTCATTGCTCATTGCTGTATGTAATAATAACTTTGAAAAGGGGAAACGTATATATTGTAATAGTAGTAAATGCTTTTGTTTTGGTTTGATTGATTATACCTAAAAATTCACATTCAAAAAGAAATTGGAGTACTTTTATAAGTTTCATGTAAAAAGAAAAGGCTAACAAATCTCATGTGTTGATCCTTAATTTTATAGTTAAAGATTTATTTCATTCGTAAATAGTATAATTGCTATTAATGAGTGGGCATGAATTATAAATTTGTTTATACATAAATTTTAAGATTATTAATTTTCTTAAAATGATTACCATTAACAAATCTATTCTTTTTATACAATTTTTTTTTTACATAGAACTAAAATTAGAAACTAAAAATTATAAAGATCAATAGGATTTGCAGAAATTCTCTAAATAATTTTAGATAAATTAATACTTAAATATTAGGATGTTTAAACTGTATTTTTACTTTCTAATAATGCAATTATTTAAAATCAATAAGAAAGGCATTGATTAAGAATATTAATGAGTTTACTGATATCTTTAATTTTTATGAAAATAATAACTAAATCTTAAGATTATATTGAACTATTATATAATTATCTCTGAATTTTAATATGCTAACTATATCATCTATTGAATTGTATAATTTATTTTGAAATCCATCTTTATTTAGAATTTATGTATTAGGATATATACTCTTTTTAATTATATTGGATTCTCATTCTTTGATAACTCACATATTTAATCAATAGCTGTCTTCTTAATTTCTAAAAAAGTGTTTAAAAATCTCATGACTTAATCTAACCCATAAACTACATAATTTAATTGTATTATTAATTTAGAAATAAATTGAGAAAAGATTCAAATATAATTTGTTTAATATATTGGTCAAAAATTTTGTTAATCCATAATTTTAAGAGATTTATCACTTGTAAGATGCATTTACTTGAATGATCCATCTGAAACACCATTTAAGTTAAAATTACTATCAATTTCATTATTCTAACTCCTTTGATTCACTTAATAATACTCCTCTATTTCGTATTGATCGTTTTTATTAATAACTTCCAGTTATTTGAACAATTAAACGAAATCATTTTCATTTTTTGGGTAAATGATATAAAAGACCTTTAAATTTTCATCTTAAAAAGGAACACCAAGTTTATTTTTTAATATCATTTATTCTTGTTATCTTTTATTTTTTGATGCAAATGTGAGTTCATCTTAGCAAGATTAAAGATCAAAAGTTTAACATTTGCAGATTGAACCCATAATTTTTAACAACTTATAATTAATAAGCAAGATCAAAAATTCAAATTTTTATAAATTATACAAGATAAATGATTTATAGAATTTAATAATAATGTGTATAGAACAAGATAGTAAATTCATTAAAACATAAATGTCTAAACTATTATGACCTTTTAGATTGGTAAATATAATACTATTAATTTAATTATCAAAGGTGTATTTCCTTTATGTTTTATAAACATATCGAGTATAATTAAAATTAATTAGATTGATTTATTCTTTTCCTATTTAGATATCTAGTTAATTCTATTTATAGTTTTGAAATTATAATTATAAAATACAAATGTATATTTTCGAAATAAAATTATCAATTTACCATTATAGTAGTTTGATGATTCAAATAATTTATTCATTTTATAAATTTAGCTCATTTGTTAAATTAAAAAAAAATGAATATAAAAAAACCTTAATATTGATCTTCTTAATTGCAAATTTAAATTTCTTTCATTTATATCATATGTAATTTTCTTAAGGAATTAATATGCCTCTAGTTTTGCTTAACATTTTTATATAACTACTCTTCAGTTAAAATAGATTTTTAATATATTTTCAACATCATAATATATAACATGAATAGTCCTTTTCAATATTATAAAGAGTAGAACTTTCAAATTTAATTAATTTAAATTCTCCTTTTGATAAGATTCCTCATGATTTGAATAATTTGAAATGCATCAGAATGTAAGATTTGAAAGCAATATTGATAAAATTATTACTCTGAAAAAAGATAAATTCAATATAAAATAAATGAAAATTATAGTAATTTACTTATGATTTCTAATTGATGATCAAAACTTAATACATAACTATTTAATGATGAAATAAGTAATTTAATAAAGCTTGGACTCTATCTTATTTAAACAATTTTAATACTTACATATTATATTTAATTCATAAGTATTAAAGTGTATACCTTATAATTTATGAAAACTTTTGAAAAGGATATCTGGATAAAAGACTATAATTTATCATAAGAATCCACTAAAAAATGGTCATTAAAGAAGTAATTTTTTAAAGTATATGATCTAAAAATAGATTTATTTAATTAAGAAATATATAGATGATTTTTGTAAATTTGATAAAAATTAAATTAATCATTTAATACAAAAGAAATGTTAAATATTCAACTATTTAATATAAATTTAGCAGTTCATTATTTTTTTTATTGCAGCCAATTTCCTTTAAATTATTTATTATCATCTAGCTCTTCTTCTTTTATATTTGGTCGATTTTAGATTATATTTTACTAAAGTTATTGTGGTGTACTTTACTATTAATTAATCTATGGATGCAATTAAGGTTATTAAATATGAGGGTAATATGGACCCATATTGATCTATTATAAAATTATAAATTACTATAAATGTATTTGGTATTTAAGTTGGAACAATGATTGGGTAGAGTAGTTGAGGACAATATTAATTTATTAAGTCATTTCCATTTTGTATTCTCTAATNTTTGAAATTATAATTATAAAATACAAATGTATATTTTCGAAATAAAATTATCAATTTACCATTATAGTAGTTTGATGATTCAAATAATTTATTCATTTTATAAATTTAGCTCATTTGTTAAATTAAAAAAAAATGAATATAAAAAAACCTTAATATTGATCTTCTTAATTGCAAATTTAAATTTCTTTCATTTATATCATATGTAATTTTCTTAAGGAATTAATATGCCTCTAGTTTTGCTTAACATTTTTATATAACTACTCTTCAGTTAAAATAGATTTTTAATATATTTTCAACATCATAATATATAACATGAATAGTCCTTTTCAATATTATAAAGAGTAGAACTTTCAAATTTAATTAATTTAAATTCTCCTTTTGATAAGATTCCTCATGATTTGAATAATTTGAAATGCATCAGAATGTAAGATTTGAAAGCAATATTGATAAAATTATTACTCTGAAAAAAGATAAATTCAATATAAAATAAATGAAAATTATAGTAATTTACTTATGATTTCTAATTGATGATCAAAACTTAATACATAACTATTTAATGATGAAATAAGTAATTTAATAAAGCTTGGACTCTATCTTATTTAAACAATTTTAATACTTACATATTATATTTAATTCATAAGTATTAAAGTGTATACCTTATAATTTATGAAAACTTTTGAAAAGGATATCTGGATAAAAGACTATAATTTATCATAAGAATCCACTAAAAAATGGTCATTAAAGAAGTAATTTTTTAAAGTATATGATCTAAAAATAGATTTATTTAATTAAGAAATATATAGATGATTTTTGTAAATTTGATAAAAATTAAATTAATCATTTAATACAAAAGAAATGTTAAATATTCAACTATTTAATATAAATTTAGCAGTTCATTATTTTTTTTATTGCAGCCAATTTCCTTTAAATTATTTATTATCATCTAGCTCTTCTTCTTTTATATTTGGTCGATTTTAGATTATATTTTACTAAAGTTATTGTGGTGTACTTTACTATTAATTAATCTATGGATGCAATTAAGGTTATTAAATATGAGGGTAATATGGACCCATATTGATCTATTATAAAATTATAAATTACTATAAATGTATTTGGTATTTAAGTTGGAACAATGATTGGGTAGAGTAGTTGAGGACAATATTAATTTATTAAGTCATTTCCATTTTGTATTCTCTAATTCTAAATATCTAATAATTCTTTAAATGCCTAAGTTTTAAATATTCTATAAATACTTCAAGAAATTATTCTTAAGGATCTCCATCTTCATGGAATTGATTGGAATTCATAATCAAATATATTAATAATTATGAATAAATATTGAATTAAGTATCTTAATTTCATAGTTTCATTAAAGTGTTGAAGTTATTAAGACTTAAAATTTAATTAAGATCATATGTATATATACATATTATATTCTTTTTATTTGTGTTTAAATTTCTTATTTACTTAGATTAATTATATTTATTTGAATGAAAAATAAAAAATATTGACAACAATTTTTAGGTATAAATCAAAGTCAAAGAATTCATTTTAAATATTTAATATAAAATTAGCAATAAAAATATAGTTTAAATTCATTTCCAATAAGATTAGATATCTACAACAATTAAAGTCATATTGTCTTTTTTATAATTAGTATTTTTAGATGCTGCTTTATCAAGAAGATATTATGCTAATTAATCTATTTCTTTTCTATTCCAATTTTCAATTAATTTTTTTAATTCATCATTTTTAATAATCTAAATATTTAATATTATATTACATCCCAAAAACCATCAGATGCCAAAATCAAATATTTATCCTTTTAATCAACTTAATGTATTTTTATTTCAGGAATTGCTATCAAACCTGATTATCTATGTTTCTTATCACCAAATGCTCTAGTTACTGCCAATTCTCCATTAATTCTTGGTATAGAACTAAAATAGTATATTAAAATACTGTCTATCTAAAATGGTTGCCATTTGTTCAACTCTTTTAAATTCATCTTCTCTATTTAATTTATGTTCAAGATTCAATTTCTAAATTTCACATTCCTCATTAATTAAAACACAAGCAGAATCACCTAAATTGACAATATATAGATCTTTATTTTTATTTATAACACAAATAGCAGTAGAACCACCAAGTAATTAATTTTCTTCTTAACAATCAAGTATATATTAATTCATTTTCTCAAAACTATTTATTATTGCTTTCTCTAAATCATCACAAAAATTGTTTTCTTCTTATAAATATATATGTAAATTATTTTCGAGAATAACTGATACAGAATGACCTGCATGACCATCATAAATTGCATAAAAGAATTAGGCCTCTTTGTTTTGATTTAGATTTGGAATAGCAACAAACTTAAATTAAGAGGATTTAGTACTCTATCTTCTTAATACTTTCTACCACACTTAAGTTGAGCAACATCAGCAACTGTCTTTCCATTATGACAAAATTATAAAGACTAATCACTTACTATTAATAAATTGTATAATACATAGGTTCATGGAAAAATATGTCTGTTTATTATTTCCATCCATCAGAAGAATGAGTACTCTCAGGTTAGACATCAGTAATATTGACATTTAACTACAATTTAGGTTTAGTTTTCTTTTGATTATTAGTTGATGTCTAATTCATAATAATAAAAATTATTGTATTATATTATATTATATAACATTGTTATTGGAAATGATATTATTTAAATTTATATATCAATTTTAACTTAATCTAAGTTTTCTTTCATGATTCTCATCTTCAACTTAATTAAATCTATCTTCAACCATATCTTCCAATTAACTGACCAATTAAAGTTCGTTTCTTCTAGCTTAAGTGGCAAAGTTATATTCATTTTAAAATGTAGCACATAATGCAGTTGCTTAATCCCAAAGTTATTGATTTCTTTATAGTTTTCCTGAAGCAGTCTAAGCAATAGCAGAATTAGTTCCAATACATTAAACCAAATGATCTAATTTATTTGATAATCTTTCAGCTTAAGCAGTAAGTCTTTCAAGAGTTTATCCAATTCTTTCCTTCTATTCATTGAAGGCAGCAATAGATTAAGCATTTGATTCAGCATAATCATTGTAGGCCTCATGAATATTTTATTTCAAAGTATCTAATAATTAAGCAACTCTCTCAAGGGAAGTCTCATCAAAATCTTTTGATGAAGCTAATTAAGAAAAAGCATAAAGAATTGGAGCAAATCTAGCAGTTTCCTTAATACTGAAGGATGTTTAAAGCATAACTTTTGAAACTCTACTAATTTAAGCAAAACTTCCTGATCCACTATAGATAGCAGCCAAAATATCTGATGCTTCATCAATAGCATGAAGAGCATCTTCATAATCTCTTCCTCTCTTCTTAAAATAGCTTGCTTCTTATTCAGCAGCTGTCAATACCATATTCAAATGTTTCTCTGCTGTGAATGTTTAATGTTAATTGACTTCTTATTAATTGGTGGCTCTGATTTTTGATGTTTAACAAACATTTAATTAAGCACTAGAATCTCTAAGGATGTTTTTAGCATCTTAAACTTCTTTACTTCTGAATTCATCTTCAGATTCACATTCTCTAACTTAAATTTAATATATCTCATCATGATTCACTTATTCGAAATTTACTGAATCCCTAAAATCTCTCAAAACATTCAAAATGGCATCTAATGGAGCTTTTGTTGAAATCTTAGATTCCACTTCAGCCATTACTGATGTTATGGATCTCTTTTTAGAGTAATCTAATTTATTCTTGAATGTAGCAGCAGAGGCAACACTTAAGAGTAAAACCACCAATAAAACTGTTCTCATTAATAATAATAATGCTCTTAGACTTTAAACGATATCGTTTTTAAATCTGTTAAATCACTTATTCAAAATGTTCAACTTCTGTTAGTTTACTAAAATAGAATTGAACATAATTTAAAATAAAAATGTTTGGTTTTAATTTTGTTTTAATGAAATTTTTTAATTTTAAGAAAATTAATTAAAAATTCTAGAATCCAAGAATTATTCATTAAAAACTTCTAATCATTAATTAAAAAATGTTAGTATTTTTATCCCCATCAACTATTTTATTTATATAAATTCTAAATTTTAAGAAATCACTCTCTCCTCAAAATTAATTAGATATAATGGTATAAATATTGAATCCATACTAAAATTAATTATAATTATGTGTGATTACTAAAATTTATATATTGTAATATGTATATTTATCATCTTGTAAAAAGTTTTCCTTATTGACTACAATTAAATTAACTAAATACTGTTTTCTATATAGCTGATATAATCCAGTTTGAGCCATGCAAAAATTGCAAATGACTAAACTATAAACTCTAGGTGTAATAATGAAACACCATCTACGTATTAATAATATAGTATTTACCTAGTGAATAATAATCCTGTCCAAGCTATTACGCATTATTAAAGTGTGTTAACCTATTCAACAGGTTTACGCATATCACCTATGTTAGCAATTGAGATTCCCCACTTAGCTAATGGAGTCCAGAAAAAGATTGTGAAAGGACCTTTCTCACTCATTATGAATTTCTTCATAAAGGCTGGCCAAAAATTCCAAGCACAAACATATTGCTATAACTTAGGCACTATTCCAAACATGTGATTCAAAAATAAAAATATAAAATCTCTAAATGAAAATATTATAAATCATAATATAAATAAATGAATAATAAATAAAGTACTCAATATTTTACACATATTTATCAATATATCCAACCGAAGATATGTCTTTTATTTATTATAAATTATATTACTAAGATTATTGGTTTTATATTCAAATTTATTAGATAGTATTTTTATTCAAGCTTTTATATTTTCTCTGATTGAAAAAATAAATAAATTCTTTACAATTCAATAATATTTTTGATTATAATCACTTATAAATAAATTTAATAATAATATTATCTCATTTTATTTATTTTATAAAGATCTTTTATTAATCATACTAATAATAGAAATAATTTTTATAAAATTTATGAATAATGATAAAATTATAACATTTATCCAAATAATTCCATGACTGAAGGATTTTTCCTAAATATACTTTTTTTTCATAATTAAGTAAATAAACCATAATCGATATAAGTTCAATATTTAATTAGATGTATATTGAAACAAGCAAACTAATTTAGAGTATTTCCTCTGTAGCATTGAAGAGTAAAGTTGTAAAAATTATTTATTGAATTAATCATTAATGGAGTTAAAAAAAAAAATAAATAAAATTGTGCAAAAAGGATATTATTTAGAATTCTCCTTTTTTTAGTGAGATATTACAACCTTTTTATCAGATTTTGAAATATTATTCATACTAAAAGAACAATTAAAAAAGGATAATGAAAATATATATTAGGATTTATAAGGCAATTATTTGATTTAGTATCACAAGCTCTATATAATAAACTTGGTTGTAATTGGACTTATATAGAGAAAAGAGGGTTAGATTAATAAATGAATTCAAATCATCAAGAAAATAAGAATAAGCTTCTAATGGAAAGCTAATTGATGCAATAAAGATTCTTTAATAACGATAAAATTTGTATTGTAATGAAAAATTTGAAAATGGCTTGTGTATTCATTAATTTTAAATGATAATTTGATATTAAATCTAGAGAACATTTTTTCAATAAGAATTTATTGTAATAATTTTGGGAAGTTAATTATATATAAATTTGAATAGAGTTTAATTTAAAAGGAATATTTGAAAGGTAGTGTTGTCGAATTAATATTTGTTAAATCAAAAATCTATTTTAGAGTTATTTCAGATTTAATTTTGACAGTCATTTTCATATGTAATATTGGACCAAGGTTAACGTAAAATCAATTTTTTTTATTTTCTTTATAAAACATATGAGGTAAAATATCAAACAAGGCTATGCAATGTTTTTATTTAGTTATAACTAAACTAAGATTTTAATTAATTCAATATATTAGAAGAAAATAAATCATTATCTTTAATTTGAAATCAAAATATCCATTAAAATTATGAAATATGTAATTCTTGCAACTATATTGATTCATTTTCAATAAAATTATCCAAGATTAAATTATGGGGGTACATTTTGTTACGTGAGTTTATAAGATTCGTAATGTATGTTTCAATGGAAAATATTTTTTTAAAGTTTTCTTTCTGCTCTTCAAATTTAGATGCATCAATACTCTTGCTAAGCAATTTATGTTGACATAAATGGGGAACGATAATAGGTGACTATTATCTCAAATTGTGGTTCATTGTTAATAAAAGTACTTATTGCATTAAGAATTTAAAAAGACATTCCCAAACGACTAATAGATGGTATACTTGCCAGCTGGCTCTATGGACACTATACTACACTTTGGTAAAGAAATCATTGAAAGTATATAACTATATAATTAAAGATGAAGAAATGTATACACTGGACCTAGAGAATCCTGAAACACAAATAAAAGTGTCTTTTCTTTTGAGTTAAAAGGATTATTAAGAACTTTAAAATCAATTAAGAGGAAAGTAGGTTTTCTTTCGCTCTTAAAATCCTCGAATATTGGCTTAGATAGCACCTGGGATCTGTAAAAAAAGATACTTATATTTTAGAACTGATTCAAACATAAAACAATGTCATGATTGAAAAAATAGCTCCTTTTCCTAAGACAATGAATGATATAGCTTCGATTAACAGACTAGTAAGAGATTTAGTTTAATTATTAGGGATAATTGAAACAAGAAGCTGATATTCTCTCTCTTTTGAAAGAACATGAACATTAAAATATAATTAAATTAGAAGAAATTGAGACTGACAATGAATTCGTATCTATAACACTTGAAAATTGTTAAGGAGGAGATCTTCTTAAATTACTGAATAAGAAAACCAATAAAATAAATGAATCTCTCATTATGATAAACTTACTTTCAGGTATTTGATTTTCTTAATAATTAAATAGGTTTAAAACATCTTCATGAATTAAACATAGTACATCGAGATATCAAACTATAAAACATATTATTCTTAGATAATTAAAATGGAAATACTTTAAAAATTGCTGATTTTGGTCTTTCTTGTTTCAAATAACAAATACCATACTATAACCCTAGGTAAAATTTAAAAAATAAATTCAATAGATGTGGTACTCCTGGATATACTGCTCCAGAAGTATTTGCTTAATAATGTATTTATGACGAGAAAGTGGATATTTATAGTGCTGGAATAATCCTATATAATATGTATAAAAATTTGATTTATATCTATTTAGGTTAACTAGGAAAAATCCATTTGGTAATTCAAAGAATATCTAAGATATTATAAAAAGAAACATTAGTGGTTAATATGATGAAAGTCATTTAACAAATGTGAAAATAAATAACCCTCTAGGATATGATTTACTTATTAAGATGCTTTAAAAAGATCCTCGTAATCGTCCTAGTGCAAATGAATGCTTATAACATCCTTATTTAAATTTAGAAAATAGAATAATTGATGATGATGAAAATTAGAATAACAAAGATAGTCAGAAAAGAAATTAAGTATCAAAACGTGTAAAGATTTGAATTTTATGAATACTATCATTTATTCTCTAAAAATTTCTTAGGATCTGATTCATCATCATCATCTGATTCATCATCTTCGAACAATCTTCTACATCCAAAGATGCGAGAAAATTGATTTTTACACCACTCATACAATTAATCTAATTTGGAGAGTTTAGTTTATTATTCATCATCAGATTATGAATTTTACTAAAACATTCTTTAATATAATTCTTTATCCTTTTTTAGTGCTTCATTCAATTTCTATTTGAGATCATAATAATCTTCCTGAAGATCTGGATACTCATTTATATTTGTTACAAGACTTAAATCAGATTATACTTTATCATAATCTTGAATATCGAAATGAAAATACCCTCTCCTCAAAATATACCTAGGACTAGGATGCATTTTGATTCCCTATAAACATATTTGAATATATTTACCATATCATAAAATTGAGATGCTCTTACATAATCTTTTTTTTTCTTATAACAAAGTGCTAGATTGAATATTATAGGGTATTAGAAATCCTATTTCATAATTTCGTTCCTTTCTGCTGTGTTCTATAAATCCAACGCTAAAGCCATTTCATCATACACTTAAATTGCTCGATCATATTATTGCTGATAAAACAACTTATTTCCTTTATTCTTTTAGTACAGCAGCCACTCATAACGATCATCCCAACTGAGATCCTATTTTTCACTTTTAAAAGCTGTGGTTTTACCTTCAGCATATTTGACAATTCCTTCCTTCTAATTTTCCTTAAGGCTGATTCTTATATACTCTCCTAGTTACTAAATATAAATGAAGATCTATATACATCTATTTTTAATCAATAGTTTATAATTCAACTTCATTATTCTAAAAGAGTTTAATAAATTCTTCTTCAATCATACTTATATATATAAAAATAAATATTAAATTTGATTTTTAAGATTAATTACAATTAGAACACAATCAATCCAAATACGAATAAAATCTGAATAATACTGTCTCTTATAGTATTATCAATTAGAGAGAAATCTTTTTTTAATTTAGATCATAATAATCCAATTAAATAAAATTGAATTGTTTGTCTATGTTACAAAAAATTTGTAAAAAAATAATAAAATGAAAAATACTATTCATGAATTGTAGTATTTGTCTTTTTAATATTATAAGGTTGGATTACAATAGGATTAATATTATTACATTTATATTTTGGCAATATTCCAAATATATTTATTCACACTAATTGATACACAAATTATAATTGACTTTTCATCAAAATAATATAATGATTTACAAATTGATCCATTTGCACATAAATATTTATAAAAAATATGATTTTCATTCCACTTTAAGTTCAATAACTAATCTAAAGAAAATTAGTTTCATTTTTTTGTACATTTGATGTAATAGCTTAAAAAGCATGACATTTTGAATTATTTGTGATTTCTATTGTAGTTTATACTAAAGTATCTGCACATTACTTCAATCTAAATTTATCCATAAAATATATTTAATCAATACTAACAGAAGTACAACTTATTTCTTTAACAAATCTATTTCCCTTGATACACAAACAACCAGAAATAATTGTAACCTTCATCAATTGTATAAGTACTATCTTATGAATACAATTTGTAAACATAAACTTTAACAACCATTCCAATAACTTGATTTATTATTTTCATTGAATCTTTAATTTTATGATAATATTTTCTGAGTATGATGTACAAAGTTAATTTGGATTAATAAATCCTATTCCTTTATATCTACAAGTACTCTAAAATTGATTACATTGAATTTCATTTATTGCTGTAATATTGTCATCAATACATTACAGATTAATAAAATTATAAGTCATTCAAATCAATTGGCTATCCAAATTACATTTATAATCTCTTTTCTTTGTGCATCATTAAAAACTCTTACTTTTTATTTACATAATCCTAATGTACACTCTCCATCACTATCAGTATAAATATCATCATTATAATCATAAACAATCCCTGTATAAATATTAGATAGCTTCTTTTGAGTTTACACATCCTCTCCTATTTGTAATACAAGTATATAGATATTCCTTACCTAAATCATCTATATTATTTGTTTTACTAGCATTCTCAAATTTTCTTTCTTAACATTAATTATATACACTCTCATCATATCTATTTTCTGATCCAATCATCAATTAACAAGAACTAATCAATTTTGATATTTTGAACATACTCCTGTATTTACATTTCCAAATTGAAATTTTACTCATTGTTCATTTGTAGTTAACTCTACTGATACTGCTGAACAGAAGATTTGACAACAATCACTCCTTGTTTTCTCACTATAATTATCATTTCCTATAATACCTATATAAGAATCATCATTATATCAACATTCCCCACTTATCTCCACACAACCTTTTCCATAGTTTATCTATCCAGAATAAAACNTATTTGTCTTTTTAATATTATAAGGTTGGATTACAATAGGATTAATATTATTACATTTATATTTTGGCAATATTCCAAATATATTTATTCACACTAATTGATACACAAATTATAATTGACTTTTCATCAAAATAATATAATGATTTACAAATTGATCCATTTGCACATAAATATTTATAAAAAATATGATTTTCATTCCACTTTAAGTTCAATAACTAATCTAAAGAAAATTAGTTTCATTTTTTTGTACATTTGATGTAATAGCTTAAAAAGCATGACATTTTGAATTATTTGTGATTTCTATTGTAGTTTATACTAAAGTATCTGCACATTACTTCAATCTAAATTTATCCATAAAATATATTTAATCAATACTAACAGAAGTACAACTTATTTCTTTAACAAATCTATTTCCCTTGATACACAAACAACCAGAAATAATTGTAACCTTCATCAATTGTATAAGTACTATCTTATGAATACAATTTGTAAACATAAACTTTAACAACCATTCCAATAACTTGATTTATTATTTTCATTGAATCTTTAATTTTATGATAATATTTTCTGAGTATGATGTACAAAGTTAATTTGGATTAATAAATCCTATTCCTTTATATCTACAAGTACTCTAAAATTGATTACATTGAATTTCATTTATTGCTGTAATATTGTCATCAATACATTACAGATTAATAAAATTATAAGTCATTCAAATCAATTGGCTATCCAAATTACATTTATAATCTCTTTTCTTTGTGCATCATTAAAAACTCTTACTTTTTATTTACATAATCCTAATGTACACTCTCCATCACTATCAGTATAAATATCATCATTATAATCATAAACAATCCCTGTATAAATATTAGATAGCTTCTTTTGAGTTTACACATCCTCTCCTATTTGTAATACAAGTATATAGATATTCCTTACCTAAATCATCTATATTATTTGTTTTACTAGCATTCTCAAATTTTCTTTCTTAACATTAATTATATACACTCTCATCATATCTATTTTCTGATCCAATCATCAATTAACAAGAACTAATCAATTTTGATATTTTGAACATACTCCTGTATTTACATTTCCAAATTGAAATTTTACTCATTGTTCATTTGTAGTTAACTCTACTGATACTGCTGAACAGAAGATTTGACAACAATCACTCCTTGTTTTCTCACTATAATTATCATTTCCTATAATACCTATATAAGAATCATCATTATATCAACATTCCCCACTTATCTCCACACAACCTTTTCCATAGTTTATCTATCCAGAATAAAACATCTTGCATTAATAATCTCTACTTAGAGTTGTACTAGCTTCGATGCATTATAAATCTCGACATTTTCTATCTTCTAATCTACATCAATGACCTTATGTATTAATAATAGAATTGTATAGAGATTAATCAATATAATAATTGCAATCTAAAGGCTCTATGCAATAAGTTCTACCAGATGTATAATATTAAGATATTTATTAACAGATTCATTTTAATTTTCACTTTATGCAAAACATCAAATAAATTATTCACAAAATCTCATATTGAATGCAAAATCTATTGTAAGAATTACAATTAATTATATCCAAAGTTTTAATATAAATATTTATAGTTTCTTCACTTTTTTAATCTTAATTTTAAATCTATCCATAGACAACTATTAAAACACACAGTCCGATTTAGATTTCATTTATACACATTTAGATTACTCAATAATAGTTTTGTAACAGCTAAATTTGGATTAATCAACAAAAATTATAAAGTCAATCTTACCATACTTTAGTTTTATAGTTTTATTATTTCAAATTTTATTTCTCTTTTGTGTATCCATTATGATATTTTTTGTTTATGTTATTTTAATCATCAATCTAAATCATCTTAGATTTTTTAATCTAAATTAATTTACATAATTTAATGATTATTATCATCAATTAAGTGATTTGAACTTCTGTTATCTTAATATTATTCAATTTTAAGTAGAACTAGCAAGTTTAATTAATTAATATTTTTTTAATATATTTCTTGAATATTACATAATACTCTGTCATTCGTAGAGAAATAAACTGTTTAACCGATTATTTATGTAATTTAATTAATGTGATTTCATTAAAATATATTAATATAAATAATATGAACAAATTAATTGAAAAAAAAGAAAGCAAGTCTCTTGACTTATATGTTGTGTTAAGAAACCTAGAATATTTAAAAGATCACTTAGTTATTTCAGAAAAGAAAATAAACAGAAAAAAAATTAAGATTGATGATGACTTAGAAAAAACGATACTTATTTGCAATTCAGATTAAGAAGACTGAACTCTAACCAAATATACATCTCTCTCTCTTGATTATAAACTCATTTTTCCATTTAAATAAAAAAAAATAAATTATATTTCATATTCATCAACTTCTATTAAATGGTTAATGCTATCAAATTAAAATAATAATAAGTTAGTCTTTGCATCCTTTTTACTTTCAAAATTCTATTTTAGAACTTTTTCCATAATTTTTCCAAATTTTTTATGATTAATCTTCTAAATATATCACAAAATAATTAGTAGCCTTTTCTTTAGGAGAATTTTTTCATTCATAATTTTGAAGGACTTCGTTTTATAATTTTGTTTATTCTTTTTTATATCATTATTGTTATTTATAATGCTTAGTTGATAAAAAATGAGCAATCTAACAAACTTTATAATCAGCAATTAGAATAAAGAGAATAAATAGCCATTATATAACTTAAGAAGATCATGAATTACTATATAATTTCTTACTATAAATCATAATAATTTATGAGATGTATCTTTGGATTGATTTATTTATTTTAAAAATATATAAGAATTGATAACGGATAATTCAATATTCAATAGCTTAAATTAGGCAAATTAAATCATAAACAGATGTAGCCTTAAAAAAGATTATTATGTATTCTTTAAAAAATAAATTGTTAAGGTATAGATATATGAATTATACATATTGAAAATATTTTATTTTATTTTTTCAAATTAAATAATTCTGGAATATTTAAATTAACTTGTTTTAAATATTAGATTATTTTATAATTCATAACATTTTTTGTATATTTTTTATTTTATTATAAAGATGTTCTAGTGTCAAAATTAAAAATTAGAAGAAGTTTATCAAGAGCATTGTGAATAAAATCTAAATAACACTGATAAAATAGTTAACTTTATATTAAGGATACTAATATTGATTGTTTCTATTCTGTCAAGTTTATTTGTTCTATTAATTATCAGAAAAAGTAACAAAACCTAATTTTGGCCTTTTAAGTTAATAAAAATGTAGGTTATATCTGAATTGATTGATCTCACATTTGCCTTATTATTTACTATTAATAGTTCATGTTGGCCTAAGGTTTGCAAATTTATTGCATATATTATGCATTCTAATTGGTTAGCTTCTTTAAATTTTATGTTATTCTAGTGCTTTATCTACTTTTGTTTAATTAAGGTAAACTATCAAATTTACTAATAGTCAGAATTGTTATTCAACTATATCATGAATTATCTTAAATACTTTATAATTTTTTTATATATTGTGCCATATGGAATTTTATTTTTTGTATTATATGATGATGGATTTGGTCCTTCAGGATGGTATTTATAAAATGGTGAGTTCAATTTCATTTTTTGTGGATGTAAATTTCTACTTTAAATTAAGTTATTAATAATCAATTGATAGGATTTTGGATTACCCCTGTTTCAATTATATTTATCCTTTCAATCATGCTTTCTTTATTTGTAAAAGAATATATTTATAATAGAATTCATATTATTGGTATCACCTTAAAAATAAAAAGGGGCTTAAATATCCTGCCTTAAGAATCTAATCAATAATTATATTCCCTCTACTCTATTCATTTGCATGGATTATCAATTTTTTGATTCGGTATAGAATATATATATATTAGATTATTTGATACTGATGCTAACAATTAAAATTATTGCCCTATTAAAGAGATGAATTGGGTATTCTACATTTTTTATTTAATTTTAAATTTGGGATTTGAGTTACATTTAACATTAGGAGCAATACTATTTTATTTTATATATAGGTATATTTTTTGATTAATACGAAAGAGGATTATTTAAAATAGATTCTTTGTGGGATGATATTTGTTTTAGAAAAAGGTAAAAGATAACATCAAATCAACTTTACTTAACAGAAACAAATTCAAATATTTAATTATGATATTTTTTCATTGCATTTATGAATCTTAAAGAATATTTGAATTAAATTTTATTCAATCATTTATTTTTTAAATTTACTTAATAATTCTTTGTTTACCTACTCTATACATTTTAATGTAAAATATGAAATTCTTATTTTTTGAGAATTTCAATTGTTAATAAATTATTAAAATGAATTAAAAGTGTATTTTTCCATTATAATATATTGTTTAGATTAATGATTTCATTTTCTCTGTTTAAAAATGATATTATATTCATATATATCAATGAATTTTAATATAGTAGAATTTTATATAATATCTACTATGATAGTTGGATTTATTGATTTAAAAAATACATTATGGACAGATTTTATCATCTTAATTATATTTTCTAGGTTGAAACTGGGAGTATTTAAATAAAAATTTACTATTATATTCTGATTATAATAATTATCATTTTAAAATATTATGGCCACTTCTATTGCTAATAAGAAGGACAATTTTGATTGGCTTATTAAAATTCTATTGATAGGGGATTCTGGTGTTGGAAAAACTAATGTGCTATTACGATTTTGTGAAAATAATTTCCAACCAACATACTTATCAACAATAGGAATAGATTTTAAAATTAAATCAATTGATGTTGAAGGTAAGAAAATCAAGATGTAAATTTGGGATACTGCAGGATAAGAGAGATTTAAGACTATTACTTAGACATATTATAAAGGAGCAATGGGAATAATTCTTGTATATTCCATAGATGATAAAGACTCATTTAACAATATTTCTAATTGGATGAATTAAATTAAGTAACATGCAAGTGAAAATGTTTGTAAATTGCTTATAGGTTTCTATTTTAAATTTATTCATTTAAATAGGAAATAAAATTGATGTGCCAAATAGACAAGTCTCAAAAGAAGAAGGAGAATAATTAGCAAAATCATTTGGAGTTCCTTTTTTTGAAACATCAGCAAAGGAAGGTACAAATGTAGCAGATGCCTTTTTTGCTATGGCCAAGGCAGTCAAAGCAAATCTATAAAATGAAAAATCACCTAATCCAAGTGTTCCCCAAAATGGAACAAAATTAATACCAAATGATGTTTCTGAAGAAAAAAAGAAGAGTGGATGTTGTTGAATTGAATAACAATAAAAAACAATAAATAATTTCATCATTTTATTACATTATCTCATTTTTCCTAATTACCATACTTTCTTATTTATATTATTATCTCAATAACAATAACATTATGACAATTTAATATATTATTTTTAAATACTAAATTTAGATCTAAAAAAAATAAATATCATTAATAATTCTTTTTTAGTAAATCCTCTTTTTACATTATGAAACCAAATTTATAAATAGAATACTAATCTCAAACTGCCTCATCTATCATATAAGCTTTTTCACGAATATTAGGAGAAGAAAGAGAAAATGAATATAAATATGATCATGATGATCATGATGATCATGAAGATAAAGACGAAGATTCTCCTACTCATAAAGCAATAATTATAATTATAGCTTTGTGTATTGGAATATTAATAATTGGAATACTTGCATATATAATTAGATGTATCTATTTAAGAGAGAAATAAAAAAGAATATCAAAAGTAAGATAATAGTCTGAAGCTGCTTATTAATAATAAGTTGTTTAGATAGAATCTCTTTGTGTTTAAACATAGGAACTAACTTAATGTCCTATTTGTTTAATGCCGATTCCAAGTTCTCTATTGATTGTAACCCCTTGTCATCACTCTTTCCATAAAGCTTGTCTCAATCTATGGCTTCAGGTTGAAAAAATTTGTCCTTCCTGTAGAGCTTCTCTAAATTAATGAATATTTAATTAGCTTTATATAAAGTATTTAATAAAATTTGTCCTTATCTAAAGAACTTAGAATTACTTTGAGCCTTTAGATGAGCTTTTTGCTATTTTCTTTAAATTTAATAATATTAATTTCTACAACAGAACTTACAATTAATTTTATTTAATTATTAATATCTCAATTATTGTAAAATATTGTGTTTTATATATTGATAAAGAATATATGTTTAAATAAAAATTTATTAAATATTTACAATTGTTAATATTTTTTATAAAATCTACTTACTAAATCAATAAAAAAGTTATGTTGAATTAACAAAATTAAACTCTTTTTATATTATATTTTTTAATAAGTGATAGAACAAAAAATTTGATGAGATTAAAGAGATTTAATTGATTTCAGTTAATTATTATTGAAAATTCGATTGGTTAAAATTGAATATACACCATATGTGAAATTAAAATGATGTATTTTTAATTTATAAATATAAATATTTAATGAATAATTCTTAAAAAAGTAAGTCTGTTAGATCTGGTTCAGCAAGGGTGAAATCAGCAATCGAAAGAGCTGGATTACTTTAACAAAGAGAATAATTACGAGAAATGTTAATCAACAAATTTACTAAAGATTATGCTTAAGGAAATAAAAACAAAGAAGTTCTAATATAATAAATAGTTAATGAATACTTTATAAATGAATAAGTAATTATCAATTCCTAAATTAGGTTACAGAAAACTCTTTAAAGTAACTTAAAACAAAAGTTATTGAAGCTGTTTAAAAATAAAAAGGTTTAAGTCAAACATAGCATGTAACTCATAATAATAATAATTCTCAATTTGACAATAAAAGTGAATAGAAATCATAAATTCCTAGACCATAATCTGTTAAAAATTCAGTAAAATCGGAACTTGATTAAGATTAATATTCTGTAACTTCTTCTCAATTTGAAAAACAACCAAAATCTGTATATGTAGTTGATGAAGAAGATGAATGGGCTGCATTAGTTAAATTTGATACAGAACTTCATTCTAAAGAGTAATAGTTAGAGTAACAGAGGTAGATAGAGTTTAAGAAGAAAATGAAAGCTGAATTAGATAGACAGTTAGAAGAAAAGAAAAGAAGAATGGAAATTGAAAAAAGACAAGAGGAAGCTTATGTTAAATTAAGAGATTTTTAAATGAATGTTTATGATCAAAGGGAAGAGCAAAAAAAGAGAGATATAGCAAAAAAGTAATAATTGGAGAAAGAATAAAGAGATAGATAAGTAAGAGAAGAAGAAAAAAGAAAGTTTTTAGAATAAAAGAAATAATAAGAATTGGATGCAATTTTAGTTTAAAGGATACAAGAAGAATTAAAATAAGAATAAAGAGAAGCCTTATAAAAGAAAGAGATAGAAAAGAGAAAATTTGTAGAAATGATGGAAGAGAATGAAAAAAATAGATAAAAATAAATCTAAGATGAAATAACAGACAAACAATTAGAAATTGATATGTAAAGAAAATACATATAATTACAATAAAAGTTGGAGGAAGAGAGAGAATTAGAGAAAAAAGAAAGAGAAGACAAAATTAAAAAGATAATGAGTGATTTTTCATAAACTGTTGTAAAAAATCAAAAAGATTAAATTAAGTATGAATATTCATTAATAATAGGGTTGAAGATGATAAAATGATGAAGGCTATATTAATGCAAAATGAAATAGAATAATAAGATGAAGAGATGAAAAAAAGACAAATTAAATAGTAATAGTAAGAAATGAGAAAATATTTAATTAAGTAGATGGAAGATAAAAAGTATTTATTTAATTATGAGTTTAGGTAGAGATTAAAAGAAGAAGAAGAATTGAATAAGAAATAAGCCTAAGTTTGGTAACAAGATTTATAGACATTTTAATAACATGAAAAATCAAAATATGATTATATAAAGGATGTCAATGTTAAACATTAAGAGATCTTAAAATAATAAATGAATGAGAGAAAATCTTAGTAGAGACCAAGAAATAAAATGAATAATGAAGAATTAATGCATAATAAACCTTTGTTAAAAGAATTGGCAGATAAACAAGATACTATTAAAGTGAGGAAAATTAATATAGGATGATAATATTATTGATATAGATTATATATATATTAAGTATTTAAATGTGATTACAAATCTATAAATTAAATTATCAATAAATGACACATAGTTATGGTTTGAAGAAAGGTACAAGAAGCAAATTTGCAAAACCTTTTAGAGGACATGGAAATATCTCAATTCGTAAGACACTTTAAACATTCAAAAGAGGTAAGATTATTTACAAGAAATTAACTTAAAGGTGATTTTGTCGATATTTTGGTTGATGGTGCTTAACATAAAGGAGTTCCATTTTAATATTATCATGGTAGAACTGCAAGAGTATTCAATGTTAATCCAAGAGGAATTGGTGTCTCATTATAAAGAAGAGTAAGAGGAAGATATGTAGAGAAAAGATTCCATGTTAGAGCTGATCATTTGAGACCATCAAAATGCAGATAAGAATTTGTTAAAAGAGTTTAAGAGAATGATAAAAAGAAAACAGAAGCAAAGAAAAATAAATAAGTTATTTCAACTAAAAGATAACCAGTTTAACCAAGAGGAGCAACAGTTGTTATTCCAAAATAAACAACATTCTAACATCCAAAAGCTTTTGTAGAAATTATTTGATAAATAAATCAGTATATTAAATAAACAAAATAGAACAATTCTATAATTTGGTATTATATGATTAATGCTTATTTTACTTGATAAATCACAATCATTTTTCTTATTATTATTAAGGTCCATCAAAATCATCTTCATCTTCCTTTCTTCTATAATAATATGTTTCAAGATTTTTTTTGTTAATCTATATGAAAATTATTATTAAATTAATACCTTCTTTAATTTTTCAGGTGGGAAGATTCTCAATAATCTCCAAGCCAAATCCAATGATTTGAAAATAGATCTGACTTCATAAGCTCCTTAACTGATGAAATTATTCTCAAATTTCTTCAAAAACTCTAAATACAATAAATCTTCAGCAGACAAGGCTTCTTCTCCTACGACTGCCTTCATTGATGCAGTATCCTTACCAATAGCATAATTTGCATATAACTAAAAAATATTTATATAAAAATTACTTGATTTGAGACTTCAGGATGATCTTCTCTAGTCATACCCTTACCAATAGCTGACTTCATCAATCTTGATAAAGATGGTAACACATTAATAGGTGGGTAAACTTATTTATTATTCAATTATCTATCAATAAAAATTTATCCTTCTGTAATATAACCTGTAAGATCTGGGATAGGATGTGTAATATCATCATTAGGCATTGTTAATATTGGAATTTAAGTAATTGATCCATTTTTACCTTAAACTCTACCTGCTCTCTCATAAATGGTTGAAAGATCTGTATATAAATAACCAGGGAAAGAACGTCTTCCTGGAACTTCTTCTCTAGCTGCAGATACTTCTCTTAATGAGTCTGCATAAGCTGACATATCTGTTAAAATAACTAACACATGTAATTCCTTTTCATAAGCCAAATATTCTGCAGTTGTTAATGCTAATCTTGGAGTAATAATTCTTTCAATTGTTGGATCATTAGCCAAGTTCATGAACAATACGACCCTTTCCATTGAACCATTTTATTCAAAATCTGTTTAGAAAAATCGAGCTGTTTCCATATTAACACCCATAGCACCAAATACAACTGCAAAATTTTCATCAGAATGATCAAGAACATCTTTACCTTTTACTAATGAAGCTTAACGCACAATTTAACTAAAATTATGATTATTAAATCATACGCTCCTATTTCATTATGTGGTAAACCATTAGCAGAAAACAAAGGAATTTTTTATCCTCTAGCAATTGAGTTCATGCAATCAATAGCTGAAATACCTGTTTGAATCATTTCTTATGGATATACTCTTGAATATGGATTGATGGGTTGACCCTAAATGTCTAAAAATTCTTCTGCCAATACAGGGGGTCCTTTATCAATTGGAACTCCTGATCCATTAAATGCTCTTCCAAGCATCTCTTCAGAGATAGCCATCTAAAGTGTTGAACCTGTAAATTCACAATGAGTGTATAAATTATCAATTCCTGATGTTCCTTCAAAGATTTAAACAACTGCTTTCTTTCCTGCAATTTCCAAAACTTAGCTAAAATAATTAGATTTATGATTACCCTTTTCTCACTGATCCATCTCCTAAACAAACATTAACAATTTCTGCATATCTTGGGAATTTCACATTGTCCAAAATAACTAATGGACCATCCACCTTCACAACTGTTCTATAATCTACTCTGGGTGTCACATTATAATTCCTTGTAGCTGCAGCTGCATTCAATCTAGCCGCTGCAACCTTTGCTATGTCATGGGCCTTATGATGATGACTCATAATATAAAATAAAGATATTTATGGTTTTAAGAATTTATAAACACATTTTAATATTCCCATTTATTTATTTTCTATTTGTCTTCATAGATTAAATCATTTCCTTCTATTCTTAATAGACTTACTCTATATTCTAATAAGGAAATCCTATGTTTATGCATTCAAATAAAAATTATTTCCTATAAAACGCTGAATAATCTATATAAAATTTATTAAGTATTTTANGCTCTCTCATAAATGGTTGAAAGATCTGTATATAAATAACCAGGGAAAGAACGTCTTCCTGGAACTTCTTCTCTAGCTGCAGATACTTCTCTTAATGAGTCTGCATAAGCTGACATATCTGTTAAAATAACTAACACATGTAATTCCTTTTCATAAGCCAAATATTCTGCAGTTGTTAATGCTAATCTTGGAGTAATAATTCTTTCAATTGTTGGATCATTAGCCAAGTTCATGAACAATACGACCCTTTCCATTGAACCATTTTATTCAAAATCTGTTTAGAAAAATCGAGCTGTTTCCATATTAACACCCATAGCACCAAATACAACTGCAAAATTTTCATCAGAATGATCAAGAACATCTTTACCTTTTACTAATGAAGCTTAACGCACAATTTAACTAAAATTATGATTATTAAATCATACGCTCCTATTTCATTATGTGGTAAACCATTAGCAGAAAACAAAGGAATTTTTTATCCTCTAGCAATTGAGTTCATGCAATCAATAGCTGAAATACCTGTTTGAATCATTTCTTATGGATATACTCTTGAATATGGATTGATGGGTTGACCCTAAATGTCTAAAAATTCTTCTGCCAATACAGGGGGTCCTTTATCAATTGGAACTCCTGATCCATTAAATGCTCTTCCAAGCATCTCTTCAGAGATAGCCATCTAAAGTGTTGAACCTGTAAATTCACAATGAGTGTATAAATTATCAATTCCTGATGTTCCTTCAAAGATTTAAACAACTGCTTTCTTTCCTGCAATTTCCAAAACTTAGCTAAAATAATTAGATTTATGATTACCCTTTTCTCACTGATCCATCTCCTAAACAAACATTAACAATTTCTGCATATCTTGGGAATTTCACATTGTCCAAAATAACTAATGGACCATCCACCTTCACAACTGTTCTATAATCTACTCTGGGTGTCACATTATAATTCCTTGTAGCTGCAGCTGCATTCAATCTAGCCGCTGCAACCTTTGCTATGTCATGGGCCTTATGATGATGACTCATAATATAAAATAAAGATATTTATGGTTTTAAGAATTTATAAACACATTTTAATATTCCCATTTATTTATTTTCTATTTGTCTTCATAGATTAAATCATTTCCTTCTATTCTTAATAGACTTACTCTATATTCTAATAAGGAAATCCTATGTTTATGCATTCAAATAAAAATTATTTCCTATAAAACGCTGAATAATCTATATAAAATTTATTAAGTATTTTATTATAAATACAATTTTATTTTTTTCTTATTTTTAATAAAATAATACAAACTAAGTGAATAATTATAAGTATTTAAATTCTAAAGAGGATTATAATAAAATTAAAAATTTTGATAAATTCAAAGTAGAAATTGATACTAAATACTAAAATTCTTATTTTATATATATGTAAATCATCTTATGTTGTCAATATTTTGATTTTATATAATATTAAGAATCTTTTCTCTATCTTATTTTTATAGAATTAATCAAAACTAAAAGAAATAAATTGAATTTATTTTGATATAACAAGATCTAGTTTGAAATTGCTTATAAATTAAGCTTTATTTTAAATTTATAAATGAATAAGTAGAATATATTAATATTGAGATTTGTTTATTTAATTGACATGCTGTTTAACATTCACATGCAAACTTAAATGATCATTCAAATATTTATGAATTTATATAAATTTATTCAGTTTAAAAGTGATTCTATTTTAATTTTATCAACCTCAGTTAATGCAGATATATATTCAGATATTCTGGCATGTGTTGGAGATCCTTCAATCCTTTTTTCAAGTGAATCAATTTTTGTTTTCATATGAGTGTTTTCTTTTTTCAATACAGAATTTTCATTAATGAGTTTTTTCTATGATTAATATAGTTATTACATTTTAATCTTTAAGAATTTTAATAGTTCTTTATAATTAAAGTAATTCTAAATCTCGATCAAGTAATTGCTTTTACATTTATAGATATGATTATTTTGCAAAATTTTCTTTGAGCTAATTAAAAAGAAAAACTACTTTTGACTTATTATTTTTCCTCCTCCACACTCTCAGCTGCAGTTGTTTTTGTGCAACTTAATTTATCTATCTTTATATCTATAAAAGAACTCAATTATTAATTTTATGAATCATCTTGTTTCATTGTAGAATCAAACTTCGATTCTTCAGTTTACTTAAAATAAAGACATCAAATACCTATGTAAACATTCTTAATTTAACATCAGAGTAGGGAGTTCTTAAACACAAAGAAGAACCACTCAAGGGTTGCCTCTTAGGTAGAGCTGGAGCTCTAATTATAGTAACAGGAGAATTTTTCCTTGTTTCAAAATGCTTTTGCAATAAGGAAGTTGACTATCTATGGTATATATTCTAAGTTGAAATAGACTTCTGTTTACTTAAGAAAGTGGTAACATTAATTAAGCAAGAAAATTAATTATATTAAATAATTTGTATTTATCTCATTTGAATTTAAGATAGAAAATTAAATTCTCGTTATGTGTATTATTTGAGTGTGGATTTTAAAAGAATTTATTATATATAATAAAATTAGATTGAGTTTATAATATTTAATCAAATTTTCTCTTCTAAATTTTTGGATGATAGATGAATGATTTTATTTTAAGATTTATTCATTCTTAATGATCTCAATTTTTCTTATAAACCTTATCTTTTGTTATTTTTGAGTAGGCCTAATCTTTATTTTCTTAAAATTTCAACTACATTAGTTACATTAAAAGTAGGAAAATAAAATTCATAATCTTTCATTTTATCAATATCAATTAATAAATTAAATCCAGATTAATATAATTAATTGGTTTCATATTCAGTAGCATTTCTAGATTTACTATCAAGTTATTATGAACCTAAAGATACACTTTTTTATATTATTGTATCCATTTTAACTTTATTTTACCTTATTGGATTTTGAGAATAAATATTCTAAATAAACTTTTAGGAATTTCCTGTTATTAATTATTCTTGTTAATATTTGGTTTCAATTTTTCTGTTTTATTATTATTATTAATGTTATTATGAGTCATCATTCATAATATGTTTTTAATAATTTTAATTCAATCCAAAATTTGTTTTTAATTTTTGAGACAGAAAAGTAGTTTTCATTTTTTCAAATGATTAAACCCTTTTTCTTTAATCTTATGATATATTATCAATTTCTTATGATTCTGATGATAAATGACTATCAGATAATTTTTAACTCTTTTCATCTTCTCCTATTCCATAACCTAGTTTTGCTAAATATTGATCATTTATTTAACTAAGTTAAAATTAATAATTACTCTTCATTTAAAAATCCAAAATTTAAAATAACATCTAATCCCTAAGATACAATTATATTACGAAAAGAACCTTATTTATTTCTTTTTACTACTCTTGATCTTTCATACTTTTTTCTATATTAATAACAATTTATATTTGCATTCCTTGCAATTTTATCAAGATTTGATTAATAAAATACAAATGGACAATCCTAATATTTATGAGTCCATTTACAAATATCACAGGTTTTACCATATGTTTTTTAATATGTCAATTTTTCTCTTAATTAATGAAACTTTTATCTACACTCTTCATTTTCTTATATAACAATAAGAAAATCATTTCTATCAATAAATGCAACTGATAATAAAGTAGATGATCTAAAATTATATTGATATGGAGAATTTAATATAAATTCTAATTCTCCAATAATATCTCCTCTTTAGTAGATTTTTTATATTTTACCATTTACATTATCTTTTTCACCTTTACAAAGTGCTTCTAATCCTTTTGATACAAAATAACTATCAACTTTACCTTCTAAAATAAAAATTAATTTTGTGGCTGTATCATTAACACTAGCAATATCATATCCTGGTGCATAAGTTGCCTATTTAGTTTTCTAGCATAAATTATTAATTAAATCATCAGGAATATTATTCTTTAAAAAATTAGAATTTAATAAAACTCGTTTGTAAATATCAACTAAAACTTCTTATTTTAATTATCCACTTAATTTATTTAAAATAGAATCATCTTATTCCTATAATTATTCATCTATTTAATGTTTAAATTCAAAATACTTTCTAACCTTTAAAGATAATTATAGATTCAATTATTTTTATTTTATATATTAATTTACTTTTTTCATAGACCTCTTTAAAAGAGCTTTTCTTTCTTCTAATGTTTTGATAATTTCACCAATGGTTGAAATTATATATCCAAAAACTCCACATAGGACCATAGCCACTATAATAACAAACAATCTTTCTATTGTAGTCTAAGGAACTATATCTCCATATCCAACAGTTAAGGTTGTTATCACACTCCAGTATAATGAAACTATATATCTATCATACCACTCTTAATCATAATAATCATAATAGATTAACCAACTCTTTTCATCATTATATATTTCATATTCAATACGGCCTAGTAAATGCCAACCACAACTACACATATGAGCAACTAACACTAAAAAATATACTAATTTAATCATTTCCAATACAGCCTATACTTCTTCCTTGGCATTTAATAAATCTTAAACATTTTAAATCATAGATCTCACTCTGGCTATTCGTAATAATAGAATAAACTATATATATGGAATATCAAACTAAGCCAATACAAAAGGAATAGTTATCAACAAATCCCAACAGAAATTATTTTAAACGTAATGAAAAAAAATCTCACTACGATTTGTGTGTATTATACCTTAACTGTAATAGGCAGTATTAAAGTTTAACATTATTTCTACTATGAATATGTAACTTGGTATAGTTTCAAAGAATAGTATTGATATTTGATTAGATTTGTCTAACTCAAAACTCAAACTCATTGGGATGTAAAATATATTGATTACTATGAAACAAACTACAATAGAATCCCAGAATATCTTGAAACTACTCTCAGGATATATGATAGCTAATCTATTTAAAAATTTGCAGATGACATTCCATATAGCAACTATAAAAGATACAATCTTAATAATTATTAAACAAATAAAATTCTCTTCTTCTTTCTATTATCCTCTCTTAAAATTCTTAAAATCTCCACTTTTATCTCCTAAATTCTTAAATATTTCAAAATTCATTAACTTAATTTTCAATTTGTCAGCCTTTGTTTTTAATTAATAAATGAATCTTGCGACATATTTTATTATTTTTAATCCTCCCTTTTTCCAAGTAGGATTTAAACTCTTGTTTAAGGAAAATAAATACTTTTCATAATTTTGTATACTTGAATTAAAAAAAAGACTTCCTCTTGGTTATTTAATTGTTCCGTAATCTTCAGGGGATATAATTTTAACTGTTGGGATAATGGAACTTCTTGATTGTATCAATTCAATAAAATGCAGGTTTCTACTATTTCATTTTAATAAACATATTATAATACTTTTCTTAACTAGAAATGTCATCTTATTCAGCCAAAGAGCTTTATTTATTTGTTAAATGAATGTGAGATTCATTTTCAGAGCTAAAGATTTGTCTTTTTGTATTAATAAGAGTGTTTGGATCAATATCGAAGCGTTTATCTGTAATCATTTTATTTACAGCAGATTAATATTTATTTAAATGAAAAAAGTCAAATCACTATTGATTAAGAATATTCTAAAATTCATAAATAATAATTAATATTTTTAGATTTTTATTTTGTTTTGTTATGTTTCTCATTCTGGCTTTTATTTTCAAAATAAAGGATAAAAATAATAAAACTGAAAATAGATGGAATATTCAATAACAAAAATTTTAATATTTATTACCATAAACAAACAGAAATATTTAGTTTCTTAAGTAAATTAGTTTTACAAGACAAATTATATAAAATGTTCTTTATTATTGAAATGAAATAGTTTTATATGATAATTTATAATTAAACTTAATCTATACTATAGTACGAAATTTGAGAAATTCTTAATCTCTATTTTTCTTTATTTTTGTATATGCAAGAAATATGTTTGTTTAGTTTAGAAAATATTATTAATTACATGAGATAAAAATAGTGTCTATAGTTAACAAAGTGATTGAAAATGGAAGTTGAAAATTATAATGCAAGAAATTAATTTAGATATTTTGTAATCAGATATCTAAAATCATAATGATTGAGTATCTAGAAAAAATATCTAAATAAGTATTTGAGAGTTAAAGAAATCAACAAATTTAGAATAAGTATTAAATGTATAATTAAAAATTCTAATTGTGAATAACCAAATAAATGTAAAAACTTATTAGAATTTCTTAAAGTAGATTAACTCATATGAAGAGTTTGGTAGGAATGTTTTGGGGAGGTAAAGAAAATGAATTTTCTAAAAACAACATTCAATTAAAAATTAATAAAGTATTTTTAACTAAAATATTTACAAATTAATTATGAAATGTAGAAGATAGAGGATAATGATTTCATTTATTATTAGTAGTAATAAAAAGAATAGGTAATTGAAGATTATTATTATATTAAATTATATTGTTATTTTAATATTAATATTTCTTAAATGAATAAAAAAAAAAGAAAAATGAATTAAAAACTCACAAAAATCATTTAAGTAATTTTTTGATTTCCTCTCTTAAGATTTCTGGACTTAATAATAATTGTTGTTATTGCAAATTTTAGTTTTTATTTATTTAATCAATCAAGGATTTTGATAATTGTAATGATTTAGTTTATACATTGTAAAGTATGATTTAATTATAATTAAGCAATAAAAGTAACATAACAGATAGTTATGTTACAAAATTATCTTAGGGATTATTATTTAAATAATCTACAAGGCAATTAATAATAGTTTTCAATTCTTTAATATCTTATGGAGTATAAAGTTATTCTCTTACATTATTAATTGTAATCTTATGTTGATTTAATAAAGATTCGATATCTTTTTTTATTGTTATATGATTAGGAATGAGATCAAATTAAATTTGAATAATTTTCATTAATTATAAGATACTATTTTTTTATTGACTAATAGGAGATAAAGCATTATCTTAGAAATGATTGCTAAATGTTCTTTTTAATCTTAAATTTGAACTTGTATTAAAATAACCATTTGCTATGATATAATTTAGTGGTTCTCTGGATTTTTCTTCAATTTGAAATTCATTGACTTTAGCTATTTTTGATGAATTTTCTTATTCATGAACATTTCTATTTGATGCATTAGTTGAATTAGATTACAAATTACTAGGAGTTCTAAATGAATCATTATTATTTGTAGAATATTTTTTATTTGGTAAAGGTGGAGTTTGAGCATTTTCTAAGAATTTGATAAGTTCAATTCTTTGTGTTGTAAATTTAACAAAGGAACTATTTCTATCTCTTTCTGATTCTTATGTATAGGCAGTAATATTTCTTTAAGGAGTAATTTTTCGATTATCAGGTTGTAAATAAGAGATTTTAGTTTTAGTATAAAATTTAGGTTTTTATCTTTCACTTGATTTATCTGCATCATTATTAGGAGTTGCATTACTCATACTTCTATTATGTCTATTTGAAAAATGATAAGTGCCCATACTTTCAGTTCTTTATTTGACTCTTTAGTGAGGTCTGATTTCCAAGAAGCTTAGATTTTATTTAATTTAAGTAGATTCTTATTATTGACTTTGATATTATGATTAAGTATTTTTTTGGATTAATGGTAAAACTGGAGTAATTTCAGGTAGTATAGTATTTTCTTGCATTCCTGATAATGAAAAGAGTTAATCCCAAGAAATTCTTTTTTCTTCATTGATTTGTAAACAACCTTTTATGATTTTGATAGTTTATTCTGTAACTTTGGGATAAGGGGGAAATTCTAAAGGCTATTGAAATAAAATATTATCTATACTTTAGTATCTAATTTTGCCATTAATTCAACAAGATTTTGAGAATGCCAAGGAGTGATTCCATAAATCAATTCATAAAATATGAGACCTAAAGACCAGATATCGCATTTAGATGTATAAGATTATCTTTTTAAGATTTATGGACTCATATAAAGTGGTGTACCTACTAATGAATTCATAATGGTATCAATATGAGAATCAACTTATTTGGCAAATCCAAAATCTGTAATTTTGAATAGACCATCATGAATCATTATATTAGCAGGTTTAATATCTCTGTGTATGATTCCTATTTTTAGTAATGCTTTAATGCCATGTAGTAAATCCTTTAAAACATTAATTGCATCATTTTCTGGGATTGACCTATTATATTGAATTATCTTATACTTTCTCTTTTTAAGATATTCTCTTAGATCACCACCATTACAAAACTCAGTTATAATATAAGTGTTATTAACACTTTATAAAACATCAATTAATCTAACAATATTCTTATCTTCAATCAATTTCATTATTTCAATTTCTGAAGCAATGAGTTAATTTGCATAGTCTGTTTGTAATATTTTCTTATCTACAATCTTTAATGCTACAATCCTATCTGTAATTGATAACAATTATAAATTACTATCTAAGATGTTTCTGCCAGCATAAACAGTACCATAGGCACCCTTTCCTAATTTGGCTTTGAAACTAAATTGATAATTCTAAATTTTCTTATCTGGAGGGTATTGCAAAAATTACATTTTGAATTTGAAAAATAATTAAATAACAACGAATGCAATTTGCGCAATTCATTATTAACATTTAAAAGAATAATAATATTTCATACATAAATAATCATATTCACACATATGAATATTGTAAGTATTATTGAATAGAATTCCTCTATATAAATTTCAGAACTCAAATCAGGAATTTCTTTCTTTCCTTTTATACATAATCCATTTTAATTATCAAAATAACATTCATTTATTCTACTATTACAATCATCTTCATTTAAGATTTTACCACATTCTTTTACACAAATACCTTATTATACATTATTTACATCTTTTTAAATGCTCCAATAACATCTATCGATAGCTTAATTACAATTTTCTTTAGTTAAAAATGAAGAACATAAAATAGATTTACATTTTCCATTATTATAAATGCAAACATTTTTTTATTAATTGCATATACATTATTCAGTAATTTATTCACATTATCTACAAACTAAATCATCAAAATATACACAAGAATATCCATTAATTTCATTTCCTTAACAAATAGTTTAAGAAGCACCATAAATTCTAATTATAAATATATAAATAAATACTAGCAAACTTTATTAGTACATCTTTCAGTATCATCTGTTAGTTGTTATTTCTACCAATTACATTTAAAACCTCCAACAGATGATTTATTACAAATATTAATTACTTAATCCCCATAAATATCTTAATTAATTTAACTACATCTTTATAATTCTTGACAATTATTTTCTTAATCTAAATAACAACCTTCATTGTTATGACAATCAATAGCATTATGATCTTCACATGTTCTCATTTTACAAGTTCCATAATAGAATATACAATTTGAATTAGAACAATCAGAATATGGACAATATAATTTATAATTTGTAGATGTTATACATAAATCACCTGCTTAAACACAAGGTTATGAATTAATAAATAATGATTAACAATTATTTTTTGGATCAATTATATCTTCACATTTAGTATTACAGGTCTGATTTAAAAACAGAATTTATTTTGAATAGTCCAGCGGCATTTTCAATTAGAGTTTGAAACAATGGTAAATCCAATTTATAT